CGACAGCAGTGCCTGTGGCACTCCCGTCCAGGCAGCCTCGTCTATCAAACCCTGCGAGTCTCCATCGCTCGCCAGCAGCTCGCTCCCGGCCAGCCACCCCCGCATCCCTCATCAATAACGGTAGCAAACAGGAGCATGTGTCATACAGCTATCTGGCTAAAACGAGGTCACAAGGTACACCTGCTAAGCCGTGTGGTAAAGAACCAGATGCATTAAATGACCCAGCAAATGCACGCATTTCAGAGGGCAGAAATTACTTTTCCATTTAGGGGTTTTTTTTTCCCCTCTGCTGCGGGTTCCTGTTTAATGACTAAAAAAAGGTACAGGAAATTCAGAAAGTAGATTTAAGAGGAGGATTCCACCCCCAGGCTGTTGTAACAGTTACAGAACCACCGATTAATCACATAAAACACAGTTCACAACATTTTATGCTTGGGTTGTAAAAGAAGATTCTGTTTGAAGTAGGACTGTAGGAGTTTAATCTGCTGGCATATTACTGCATTGAGGGCGAAGCTAAACAAAACGTATAAGATGATAGGTCTTACTGAGGGAGATTTTGGTGGAGTCTGACTGAAGGATCAGGTCATATGACACTTTGTCTTTGAAGAATCACTTTTATGTATAGAAAATGCCTTAAACACATTTTAAAGTTATATTTTAACGTTGCATTGTTCTACTATTATTTTATTATTACATTATATTTATTATTTGTGCAGTCATGCATTTCATACATTCAAAGACAATAATCTAAACAAATATGGTGGGATTCTGTTCACCCTAAATTAATACTTGGAAATGCTTGGAAGAACCCATTTACATTTTTAAATATATATTCAAATATATGTCAACCACATTCACAGACAGGGATGATGCAATTTTCACCTGTCCTTCATGGTGAAATGACTGAAGATGCGACAAGCTGGAGATCAGTTTTCAAGCAGTGCCACAAGTTTTCACACTCACAATCAGACCTGAGATGATGTTTGCTTTTCTACTTTTAAAGACGCACTTGGCTGTATATTTGGCTTAGCCCTTTGGGTCACTATCTGATTGGCTTCTAATGTTATATTTGCCCACATACAGTCCATTTTCCTTCTAATCTTGACACCCATCACAGCCATATTATGCACCACAATATGAAGAATATTGACTGGATTTTTGCACAAAATTTTTAGCACAGAGAGAAAAAATATACATACATTTGGATCAAACACTTAGATATGCAATAAAATTGTAACATTATAAGTGTTGTAATGTCACAAATTAAATGTAGGATTTAGCGTGGTTTGTCCACCTTCCTTGAGGGTTTCAATGACTTGAGTTTCATAACTGATTTCCCACCTCAGCTACTATTTCATTTAAAATAATTATCAGCGTAGACCAGCTCTCCTTGTCCTCTCATTGGCTGACAGCTTAGTGTGGGGGGGGGGGGGGTCACCTAATCAGGCTGAGTGTGTGGCCCTGAAGAAATGAAGCCACTGGAGAATCTATATGAATAATACGCTTTGTTTACCCATGGTAAGTTAGTTTTACTCTAATGAGGATTAATATGTATCCAAGACTCCCCCCCCCCCAATTATTTTTTTAATAATTTAGCTGGACATTACAAAGACATGTAGATTCAAATTTCAACAACACACTATTTGCTTGAGCTTAAGCAATGATTTGTTGCAAAAAAATAAACACATATTAAGTTACGTTTCTAGTCTTTTTAATGTTGCTTTAGGGGAGTTTAAAATGCAAGTTTCTTTTTTAGGCACTTTATTATTTATCAGCTCAAACGTACTGGTTTCCTTTATTGTACTGATGAAATAACCATATCAATCATATAATTTAACATAGGTGTAAAAGCTCTATAAGAGCAGAGCGGTGAATGTTCAACCTTGAGCAAAGGAGACTAAGGGGGATATGATCCAGGTATATAAGATTCTAACTGGTCTGGATGCTGCTCAACCAAACAATTACTTCAATATTACTATTAATATTAGGAACTTGTGGCCATAGATGGAAAGCACTTCCTTACACAGCGTGTAGTTGGAGTATGGCAGGTGCGTCAGAAGCATTTTGAATGTGGGGGGGGGGACACTGTGAATTTTTTTTATGAATTAGATGCCGTATGTGTATTCTCATATCGATCAAGTGGAATGGATTCTTTCGCGAAGCAATAGAAACAGCGCTGGGTGAACTAATATTTTATGTTAAATGTGGGGGGGTCCAAACGAATAGTTATGAAATGTGAGGGGGACACGTCCCCCTCAGATTTAATGGCGGCGACGCCCATGGAGTATGATATAGTCTTCCTGTGTACTGCAAGCTAAAACCTTGGGTTGCTTTAAATCAGAGCTACATAAGATTTTAACAACTCTGAGATATTAGTTGAATTCTCCCGAAGTGAGCATGATGGCCTCTCATTTGTAATTTTCTTCTGTTCTTATGTTCTTTAAGGTACATAATTTTTCAAACATTCAAACTCATTTTTAAACAGAAGATTGTGCTCATCTAAGACACATCAGCTGTAGATTTAAACTGTATTTAAGCTGTGGGCCAAGCATGACCAAGGGCTAAAGTCAAATAAAGGGGTGTTAAACAATTACCCATCATGCCTCGGTCGCCCATCGATTGGCTGTGCAGCCGCCGTCCGGCCCCCCGCCGTCTCGGCCAAACGTTCCATGACCGTGTCCCCTGTCGTTTTTAGTTATCCCTTAGCTCGGCGCCGGAAATCTTTGTGCAGAGACGCGGGTCCGAGGGGGGGGGGGGTCACAGATTGCAGTACACGGATGATTGAGAAAGAGTTTTATTGATTTTGTCTGCAGGGATAATAAAATGCCAGCTCACTCCACAGTTGTCAGAATGATGTAATCACGACCCAGAGGTGGTGACTTAAGCTGTCATGAAGATCACTGTCCCTAAAAGCATATTCATCCTAAGGGGGGGGTTATTGACTTCTTCCAGCTGGGGACATATTGATTCTGCTAAAGAATGGCACCCCTCCACTGGGGATATTTCTGCCGGGTGCTCAGTTTGCCTGTGTGTGGCCTACCAGGGTTTTGCTGCATGTTCTTCCTAATAACTCCGCTGTAACTCTACATAAAAACCAAAAGTAATGAAAAAGTGCAAAATAGTTTATGGGTCAACACAGAAAAGCTAACTAAAGAATGTACAATTTATATAGGGAAGATACAAGCGTCATTTTGTTTGAAAGCTGTTCGGCACGTTGAGCTAAGAGAACGCAAAACGTTTCGGAACTTTTAATCACATTATTATTATCGGTTTACCTCATTTCATACTCCTGAGCTTAGGTGCTCTGCCACAGCTTAATAAAGGTCATTTAGATAAACGCACATAAGGTCAGTCGAGGAAAAATCTCCTATAACACATCTGTCAATAACATCCGTTATGAGAGTTAAAGCCACAAGAATTATCCAAGTCATCTGTGAGTTTAAGTTACGGTCCAAAACTTCTTGTGTTGTTATTATTTTTATACATACACAAAATGCAAATAACTCACAGACTGCATTATTGCATTCTGGTATCCTCCGTTACGGAACTAAACCGACATTTCAGGATTAAAACTACACTAGCCAGCTGGCATTACAGCTCATTCTGGTTATCAGTTTGTCTCGATCTTCTAAAGCAGGCCTATCTCCATTTTTTGGTTTCATTTCTTGATTACTGGCAAAGCAGGTAAGTTTTACATGGTCTGAAAGGCTGTCTGATTTCATGAATAGCAATCATATTCATTGCTTTCCTCACTCCTGATTGAGTCTACATTTTTCCCAGCTGATAATTTATTTTTAAATACACTTGGAATGACTATGATTAAATTACTGTAATCCCCGTTGACTCTAGCTAGTCATAAAATCAAATATTGTAATACGCACGGCATTGTATGCAGTATGAAAATGCATCAGCTGCTTCATCTGCAATTAAAGAGAGAATTAATTGAAGAATTTGTCATAATCTAACTCTAGCAGTCGTGGATCTCTTGCTTTTCATGCTAAATTTGAATCTATTCACCGCAGCACTTGTCATGTATTCCACTTATACTCATAGTATTGACAAAAATAAGCAAAATATTAGAACCTCTGCTTTTTTTCTTGTTATCTAGGCTCTTGTTTTATATACTTCATTTTTTCAGAGGCACATTAATCTCAATAGCTCTACAATGGACTGGCATCCTGTCCTGGCTGCACCAGGCCCACTGTCACTCTGACTGGGAAAAGTGGATGGAAGATCGATAGATTGCCCTAAATATTAAATCTGAAAAAATAAAACAAAGGCAGAAGATAAAATTTAACTACAATGTTGACTTACACTCTTCCTTTAGAACAAATTATGTCGGCGAATAAATTCATGTAATTAGTATAGAAACAAGAATAAATAGCTTTCTAAAGAAATGTAACTTAATATCATGCTACTGATGAGAGCTTGCATTGCGTTTGTCCTCATAGCATCTCTGGCATACAGCCCCTGCTGAAGAAAGCTCACGCTCCGCACGTTTCCCAATAACCTGTTAGAGGCTCCGTCTCCTGTGTCACTAACTAATAATATTAGGCAGTTAGCAGAAGCATCAAGGGCGTCTGTCATCAGTCAGGCCACGGCATGATAATTATGTTGAATTATTTTTCTCGTCTGATACCGATAAAATTCACCACAAATGGGAGTTAGTGCTTTATTTACATGAGGGTTACTGACTCTCTCTCTCTCTGTCTTACTGTGACTTTTCATCACTGCTCTCTAATGAATGGAAAGCATTTTGAATTCTGTTTTTTCCCTCCCCATACTCCCATAATTACAGATGCTACATTCTCTGTCCACTCATCCATCTTCTAACTGTTTATTCAATAGTTATAAAGCTCTTCCTGCAACACTATGTGCCTGACCGAAGTCATTTAATAGATGAAAACGACATTCCTGCACTGACCATGATGGCCATAATATCTGTTTCCAGTCATTAACCTTTTCCTAAAGGTCAAACACCCACAGTCAGTTGTCACCATGTCGGTATTTAAGATTCTGCTAGAAAACCATATTAAATGAAAGAATCATCAATTAGGAGCCATATTAATGCTGTGGACAGTGAATTATGTGTACTTTATCAAAGGATCGCCATATTGTGACTACCTTCCGTCTTCTATATGCTGTGACCATTATCATCTGTGAGTATATCATCACTGAATTTAGTTTGGATGTGAGATAAATCGTGTGTGAATTCAGGGAGACTGTAGTTTTATCAAGGTATGGATTCTCAGATGATTTAGTTATTATTAGTAAGATAAGCTCTGCCTGCACTGCATGCTGGGTGACATTATGCTAATAGTTGTAGAAAATTTAAAACCAGTGACTAACTTCGAGACAGCATGAAAGCAGAGGCTGTTTTTTCAAAGCGCTTGCTCCCAGAAGTTACCAAATCATGGAAGAGATGCTAACTGATTCATGAAGGTTGTGGAAAGATGGCCGAGGATCATAGGAACGCAAATAGAATATCAAGAAAACAATTCAAGGCAGTGTAACCAAAACATGGTGCATTTAAGTCAATGCTCATTTTAATAGGCACTGATCTATCTCAAAATAAATTTCAGCCTCCGTGAGATAGTGATCTTTTCCGTTTCAGAGGTATTTTCAAGGACACTTTAACGGTGTGTGTTTGCTACATGATATAGATGAATGCATAAACGCCGGTGTTATGACAGCCCCGCGGTCGATCCAATGCAGCAGCTGGGCACCAAAGGGGTTTTTAAACCATTAAATGGGGAGAAACTCACCAAGCAGCAGATAACAGTTGTTTCCTCAGCTCAAGATCGCAACGCACAAGCTCTTTAAAAAATAACCAAGTCTGGAAGATAGTGTGCAGATTAAAAGTTTTTATCGGGGTGTTACTCTGCACTTGTGGGAACGACTAATGGTATGCTAGCTTGGCTCTGAGGACCGAAATAATAGCAGGATACCTGGCTGTATTGAGTGTGATGTAACGCCTGCCTTGGTTTTGTATCGCTCACTTAGGGCCACCTGCTCCCAACTTTAACGAGCTACCAGAGCCCGTCCGTCAATCAGCAGCTGAGGGTTGCCAGTCCTGCATGCTTGATGAGCTCTGGCAGAAAGTGTCTGTTTTGTTCTCCTCTTTTAATTTCCCAGAGTCTTTCCCTTTGATTTTTTTTTTATTAATTCTAGCTTCAGAAAACTGATTAATTCACCATCCCTTTTTCGACACCCTCTTTCTATGCAAATACGCTTAAACGCCATGTGTTTGAACCCATGAAGGAATCAATGATTTATTATCTCCAAATAAAGCTGCTATACAATAAACTGAATTATCGGACAGCTTTATGCCTATAGCCTACATCTAATGTATCAGTGTCCTTATTGCAGTAGCTTAGGAAATTATCTTTATAACCGTGAACGTTATACATGGAAAATTATACAGCCTCGTATCATCAGTTATTGAATATCATTGTTATTGAATTACACAGACCATCTTCACGGCATACACCAACCCTGCTGCTTCCATTTCAAGCCATATACTGCAGTAACTGATACATGTTTGTGTCAGAAATTTGAATTTAGATTTGTACAGATTTCCCAAAAGATTACAGGAGTTAATAGGGACAATCCTATTACGCGCTAAGGAACCAAAGCAGTAAAACTGGAAATGAGAGCTTATTTATAATATATGGCATTTGTTAGGCCAATGTATCCTTTTCCGTTATTGGAATAAGTGCATAAAAGGTACAGTGAAGAAGTGAATATAAATTAATAAGGAGTGAAGATGTGATACAGGCTGACACAGTTATACAGTCATGAACAGTGTCAGTGTGTCTTTATATGTCTGCCTGGCTTGTGTTATGGTTGGGGGAGGGGAGTTCGCACGTTGGATGGAGGTGCTGCAGTGCCGGAAGGTAGCAGGTCGGAAGGATCCCCTTCTTAGCAGACCGTGATGGAATGAGGAGGTGTCTAAAAGTGCTCTTGGAGACCACCCCAAGGAGCAGATGGTGGTCTCCACGTTCACTTCTCTGCCACTGCAGCAGGTGGGGTCAGAGTCAGTCCTGTGATGGAACTGGCTTCCCTGTCGAGGTACAGAAACCTTCCCACATCTGCCTACGGGAGATTCAGATAAAAGAAAGTGATCGATAAGAGGCAAACTATCTTAGGACTGTAACCAGAATGGTGTGAGTTGAAAAGACAAAGTCTGTCAACCTTGAACATGCCGTCATGAATGCCTTAAAGCTACTTCGTCATGAGCTGAAAATGCAATTCTCCTCAAAACGATTCGCTTCAGCCATTGCAGCTGTTTTTTCCCGCTTCTAGTCCTCTGAAGACTGTCACTGCCATTGCTGGAGGCAGCCTGTCATTCCTGATTTCCGAGATACAGATGCAGTCTTTGCCTAAACATGAGTAGCCTTGCAGTTAGTTAAACTATGTGCCACTGCTCCGTCCGATATGCGGCAAATATTCACCCACCTGATTATTCCAAAAGTTCATGGTGCATACTTTCAGAAGTCTCTGCCGAACAAGTCCGTGCGATTATATGTGTCACTAGGGATTTATGTTAGCTTTGGGACAGTCATTCATATTGCAAGTATGATTATTAAGAATGACAACATTATTAGGGAAAGTGTTGCAGGTGTGTGGTGAGTACAGCTTGTACTGGACGACACATGACAGGCTCAACAATTCACTGCCCCAGTCACCGGGCTTAACGAGAGCTGATGGTGAGATAACAAGATGGCGTCTCACCGCGGTCAGTTATGCTGGTGTTGAGTAGCGTTTCTGGTGAACCTGAATTGTGCCATCACATGTTGGGTCTGTTGAGTAAATGGCAACTAGAGATGGGCAAAAATACATCAAAATGTATCTGATGCTTAACGAGATATGATACAAATGTGAAACCAAACAAAAGATCAAATATTCTGAAATGTCTTAAATATATCCAAACTACTTATGTGAGCACTCAGATGATAGTAAGTCAATCAATAAAGTCATAATAACTGACAAAACTGCTTCCTTTTTTCGGCACCACAGATATAAATAACTGAAAACAACAAAGTTTAAGATGAAAAATGACAAACACAATTTAAGAGCTTCACTCAGCAACATCTTAAAAACTCAAACACAGAAACACAAATAGCCCTAAATGGAACTTGTAAGTCTTTCAGCTCAACACAAGTGATCAACTATTACCTCTAATAACCATTCATTAAAATGACTGAAAAAACTAAACATCATCCTTGTGTATGCATAAATGTTGTGCACACATGACGTCGTCGCGCATACATTTTGGGGAAAATATTTCTTGTGCAAAAAATACAAAATATTAAAAATACTGAACATCAAAGTATTTTGATACAAATTGCTTAACATTTTCATGAAGTCAGATGCAAATTACAAAAAACAATTTTGTATTAAAAATATGTACTTTAAGTACATGCATCATAAATATTGCCCATCCCTCGTGATATCTTGAATCTTTCTGGGGGGGGGGGGTCTCTTTTGTGGGAGGTGTGAGGGACTGTAGTGAAAGGGAGTAATGGCATGGCACAGCCAGACTAATAGCAACACGCTGTAAATAAATAACACCCCCACCTTCCCCCTCCATGTTTTCACAAGCTCTTCAAATGGGGACGTATTACAGGAAAAAAAGAGAGATGTGACATATTCGACAAGAAGTCCTCATGTCATGGTCTGTGTCAGCATCATTTCTCCAAATGGCCTATAATGACAAGGCAGCTCAAAGTGCATTTTCTATCTACTTTTCCATCACTTTCCTGTCAGTCTCCTCCCCTGATTTCTTTTTTTCCACAGCAATATTGGGATACGCTCCGCAGAAAGAAAGCCCGATGCTAGCTAAACACAAATCCCACCGAGCTGTCTGTCGTGCCGAAACCGATACAATTGCAAATGATGGCTTTAATTAGCTATGGAGACGGAACATTCAACACACGTTACTTCTGGTTGAGAGGGGGTATTATGTTTTCAAATTTCGGAATAACAATGAATAACAATAACAATTTATCACAATAGCTACAGTACCGTGGTTTGATGGCACGTGTCTTGGCCACTCGGTGGTGGTGGCTGTGAGCAGATGGCGTGTGAGTGACATATGCAGATGGTGGTCCTCACACTGAGATGAGATGGGGAGGACTCCCAGAGAAAGACCTACTGGGCCTATAACAATTACACTATCCAGCTGGCTCATGGTGCTGGCAGGGTGATGCACAGACTTTCTAGTACTGGATTCAAATTTCTGTCTGAGATCAAAGCAGGAGATCATTAAATACAGTTGTGTCTGGTAAGACTTGCAGCTAAATTTACAGGTATGTTACAGAAATGGCAATTCTGAACTTCCTGGTGTTTTTATATGCCTAGGTCCAGTCAGAGATGATGTAACCACACATTTTTATGGTTATGGAGTACAAATACTAGAATATCATATAGGTAAAGCTTTGTATGATTGCTTTAGGAGTTTTTAATAGAAACTGAAAGGCACCTTTGATTCCAAATATAAGCTTATTACTTATATTCATAAATCCATGATAAGGGAGAAGGATGAGAGATGATTGCTTAAATTACATTATCAAAGGGAGCCGGGCCAGTTCTGATTGGTTAAATTGCATTAAAGAGGGACCTTGGAAAGTGTTGATTTTTTAAATCATGTCATGACTGGGACCTGGCTGAGTGTTGGTTCCGCATTAATAAAGAATCCTCCAATTTTATTCTAGTCTGCTACATAACTAGATTTCTTGTAGCAATACCTGTTAGCTCTTTTCTTTACCTCAAACCTTCAGTATCTCCCCCTGTTCCTCTAATCCTTCATCCATTCATTCATCTGTCCTGGAAGAACCTAGCATCCCATCAAGGGAGTCCTGTACCCAGTGCTTCCTGGGATGATCCCCACATACCTATGTATAGATGGATGTGTTTACAATTATCTGAATTGCTCTGTCTTTTTCATTTTATATTTTTATTATAACATAATTGTATTTTTCCAATACTAGATAAACGCTCCTCTTCTTCTCTGAAAGTCTTCCAGTTGTAGCTCTCTTTCTCTCAGCACCCTCCCTGTGTCTGTCTCTCCAGGCCTCGCACAGACTAATCATGGAAGAGTTTCTGGAAATAAACATCAGGCAAAGAAATTAGGAAGTAAGAGAGAATCCTCACCAGCCACCTGAGGAATATCCCCGACTGGGTCTGGTTAGTTCTGATTAGTTCTCAGCTGGATAAAATAATGCTGCTTTTTCTTAATCTGACAAGAGCATAGACAAAATTAAAAATCATATACTAGAAAAATCGATCTGAACAAAACTGAAACAATGTTAATATTATTCAATGCTCTTTACTTTTTGTGCTTCATTTTTTCATTGAGTTTATTTCTGATCTAGAATGTCCATCTCAGATAAATAATTTATATCTTATCTTGACTAAATAACTGAAATAATGTTTCAATGCATACAGGGTTACATAATGAAAAGAGAGTCAGATGATGGATTGGTGTGGGTTTTCTCCCAGTTAGATGTGGCTATTGGGCAGGCAGGAATGGGATGGTTTAGGGCTGGGAGTTTTAGGACCAGCTGGGCTGCCTGTAAGCAGGAGTCCAGGGGGGTTTTGCCTCATAAAAAAATAATAATAATATAGACTTGCTACAAGTGCTCTATTTTTCATACAGCAAATGTAGTTCATTGCTGGGTATAATATAAAATGAAAATATTAAATGCATTCATCTTTTTTGGCTGGTCGGAGGTAGGTAAAGGCAACATCTACGGAATATTCAAAACCTGCATGTAGACTGTGAAGGCTGGACTCCCATCTTCTGAAACTAATTACAACATGCTGTAAATCTTTCTGTAGAGTCTGTCGATTCACTCACTTTCCAGTATAAGCATGTCCTGTCATTTTTTTTTAAATTTCTGCATAAATGTCTAATGAGTAAACTTTAGTAAATCGTGGTTTTATATCTGTTTTTGTAAATAGTTTTAGGACATAGATTTTGGTCCCTAGCAATCAAAATGTGCAGTATAATAATCTTGAGATGAAATATGTGTTATATTAACTGGAACCAGTTAATTAACATGCATTTGCTGAGGTTTTTGTAAAGTACAAAATTTGCTCTATTCCCTTTGCAGCTACAAGCACTTCCATTAGTCATCATGCAACTTTTGAAGTCGGCTAATCAGCCTCCACCACTGGCTTATGGTGAGACAATTTTCATCGAAGCTTTTGTGTGAGAGAAAGTAGAGCTGAGTGACAGAATGTTCCCCTTTTCCTGGGCACTGCGGGTCCCTCCAATCACAATTCTCCATAGATGTTCTCCTCTCAGGCGCAAGAACCGCCGCTGTCACTCTGCTGTCAGTGTTAATTAGTGCTGAGAGGAAAACCTTACATCTCGACCGTGGAGAAACGCATTAGGCTCCCTGTACTTTATTTAAGGAATAAAACTGCTTTGGGAAACAGTGAATGTAAGTCAGGATTTGTTTGGTGTTGGAGCAGGGGCTAAGCAATTAGCACCGTAGCTTTGCGCTTCCAGGGTTACAGGCTGAATTCCTGCCCCCGACTCTGGGTGGGGGGTCTGAAATTCTCCCCGATGTTTGCGCTGGTTTTCTCATGTAGAAAAATATGCACTTGGGGCTAGCGGTCTCTGGACTGCCTGTAGAGCATCATTTGGTTTGTGAGCGTGTGTCAGGCTATTAAGTGGCGACCCATCCGGTATGTCCTTGGTACTTCAGGCGCCTACAAGCGACCTTGGAACCCCAGAGAATTTTTTGTTTTTGGTTCCTCTCCTCCATTGTCTTCTTGTCTTCTGGCATTCTTTCTTTTGTCCCTTTTTTCATGTTTCAAGTACCATATATGGTGTAAAAATGGATGGCCACACACCCTTGTTAATCACTTTGGGGCCACTAATATTCCTATATTGCATTATATCTTATGTCATGCACTGCCTGGTCTTTTATTGCACTGCTGTTTGCCCTTTATTGCATTTTTGTTGCTTCTATTGCCCCCCCCCCCCCCCCATGCACATACCCTCATCTGCAACTGTAGCAAAAGAATTTCACTGTGTTCTACTCACATGTAACAATAAAGCTTAAATCTTAAACCTGAAACTAAAGGACCCCTGTTTTCCCAAGACCCTGGACCCTGGATAAGCAGTTGATAGGCGTAAAGTATAGGGAGGGTCGTAACCCCCTCAATAGTCAAAACCAGCCAATACAACCCCCCGGACCCCGTAAAATGGGTGGAGACCTCAGTCACCCTAATGCTCAACCCAAAGTTATGTCCTTGAGTTGATGGATGATGAATAGATAGAACTGACTTGGAATTTACTTACTATATAAACAGGGATTGTTTAAGGATAACTTGCACTTTGTGACAGGTGGATTATGTGTGTCTCAAGCCCAGTGTTTGTTTATGTAGAAATGCGTGATGGACTGGAGGCTAAACTACTGCGAAGGCCCTTGGGTTTGCCCAGGACAGCTCTCTCTGCTGGACTGAGCTCGCTGCCAAGCGACAGCTTTTCTGTCATGATGAGCTTGTCAAGCCCCACTAATGAGGTCAGATCGATGCTCCTGGATGGGGTATCTGCCCAAACTGGAACACCGTGTCGCACAAGGTTTTTGGCGTGCAAAAGTCACACTCGGAGTGGCTCTGTGATGGCACCGCGGACCCCTAACACCAGACAAGGTGGGGGTGTAATCATGCACCTGATGTGGCAGTGTATGCCATAACATGCTGCGGTTATCCAGGTAAAATGGGGAGAGAGAAAGAGAGAGAGAGAGAGGGAGAGAGAGAGCAGGTTTGGAAGTAATGTGAAAGCACACAAGCTGTGGGACATTCAGGGAATTTTCAGATTCTTAAGGAGTTTGCACAATAAACACATTTCTTATGAACATATGGCTAGTTCAGTCTCTGGCAATATCCTTAATAAAATATGATTACTGGATCCTAGCTGTTATATTAGCAGAATTAATTCAAACTCAGGAAGTCAGATCTGCTATAAGCAGATGTCCAAAGTCCTCTATTTGAATCATGAAAACCTCTGAGAATAAGCGACTCCAGAGCAGAAGCAGCAGCCAGCAAAATATTAATTGATTGACTCCTGATCTTGATTTCTTAGGCACATGGCTTTTTAGAGGGAAGATAAAAATAAAAATGCCATAAAGCGTGGCAGCCACCGCCTCAGAAAAGCCAGCTCCGGAGAGGTCCCGGGCCCGTTTACTGGGGGTTTGTCAGGTGACGTGGTAACGCAGAACTGCAATTTACAGCGACCTGAATATGAGAAACAGATGAATATTTCATAGCTGTTTTGAGAGCTTGGTTACCAGCCAGCAGATAAGTGGTACCGAGTGTACAAAGTAAAACAAAGTAAAACAAAGTAAAACAAAGTAAAATGAACTAACAGAAGTTACACACCAGGCTGTAAGAACTCCTGGTCAGATCGGCTTTACCGTTACATTTCCGTTACATTTACTAGTTTATGTCTTTACCTATTTCTGTACTCATGATATTTGGAATTTTTAGTATTGCAAAAAACATATCTAGCTGTAAAGAATGATAGAAAAGAAAGAAAAAAAAATCTAGCATATCCCAGCATGCTTGTGGGCAATTGTAAATAGCCCTTGTTATATTGTTGGTGTTGTGGTTGCATTTCCTTATTGTCACGCATGTGTTTGCCTGTGTCTTATGTGCACCCTGTTCGATCCTTGCGTGTCTTTTGCATTATGTTAATTACCCACCGTGTGTGTACCTGACCTGCACATATATTGATACATACCCAGATGCAGCTCTTTACATTGTAATCTGTATTCAAGACTTCAAGTCTATGGCCGAAATTTTCAAAGGGATGCTGATTTTTTAGAATGATTTTAGATGGGAGCTGAAATGTGTCTATTGTACTTCAGGAGACAGCAAATGTCTAATACAGACTTTCATATCTCTCAGTGGTCCTGTAGGCAGTATGACAGACCTCTGAACTGGAAATATCCAGTTAAAGGCACCTTGCTTTTAAACTTTAAAAAAGATGCATAATCTGAATTGTTCTGCTTAAATATGTCTCCTAAACTGTATTTATCCTCAGAGCCCAACACCAAAAGATTATCTATATCAGTTAAAAATAAATCACTTCTGCATTTATATAGTGTTCTGTTCTTTATTGCGTTTCGGATTTATCCTTTTAATTACTGGTATGTCAGCGCGATTTGTAACCTAGCAACGGTTTATAACTGCGTGCAATTAACACCTCCTGTAAGTGCTTGGAAATTTGGAAAGACTGCTGGGTCCAAGTGAGCCAACCATAGGAGGATGAATAATTTAATCTGCTGAAATTGTAGATCATACCTTTACTGGTGTATCTTGGCATGCTCTGCTGCACACGTGTGTGTGTGTGTGTGTGTGTCTATGTGTGTGTGTGTGTGTGTGGGGAAGGGTATAGTTTCATCAGAACAATTGTCCACCTGCAGCTTAGCACAGGAGGTTCCCAGACACCACAATAGAGAGGAGGGTGGGGTGTGTACAAAATATTTGTGGATTTTTTGTAATGAAGCATTTCAGTGACATTCGGTGTCACGGCTGTGCTGCGGGAGATGGAGGTTTGGTTTAGAACGAAACAGCAGGTTGTGCATGACCCTGACTTGAACACATGCATTGGACTGTATTGTGTAATTAACATGTTCATGCATGTTTTATTTATTATAACTTAATAATGAATGGAGTGCATAAAATGACATAACATAAAAGGCAGTCATTTTTTGTTTGGGCTAAAATAAAACGACGTTTATTGTAATCTGTCCCACATCTCAGCCGCGAAGATGCGAGATGTGTCAGAAGCCAAAGGCGTGTACAGAGTCTCTTCCGCTAAAGGTGTGGCACTTTGTGACACTCGTGCCCCCAGTCTCCCACGGCACGTGTCCTGCCTGTGCTCCTTCATTTGTGTCCCCGAGGCCCATCTGTAAACTTGGGCTTTGTAGCGCTAAAACACGAACAAAATTCACAGAGTGCTTGATCCTACGTCACCTCGGACCTTGATGTTAAAAACAAACACAGCCAAAATCATTCTCTAAATTTAAACACAACGCGTGGTGATTTGCTGTGCAACAATAAAAGCTTGTAACTTAAATATTTACCAACAAACAAATGTGCGATTCTCACCAGCTTCAGCCAACACACAGAAGTATTTCTGTACCTCAGGCAGCTGTGATCTGTTTTGTCTTTCAGCACAAGATCAGCCTGAATAAGAGATGAGGATTTGTTTGCACCCATGTCAGCACCACATGCATTCATATATCATGTGAGTCACGAGTTCAGGATTGTCTTGAAATTGCTGGCTGCACCTCCAGGATTGTTCTACTAATGATAGTGTGGAGGACTGGCCACAGCTACAGGTGTTTAAGCCCAATTTCAGCTAAACTGTAACTGGTCACCCAAAAGCAGGTTATTCAAGTAAATGAATGAAACAGATGCATGATTCCTCAAATACATACAAACTATTTTGTACACTCCAGTCATGAAAGGTAAAACCATTTTAAAAACTCTAGAATAGCGGCTGCATAAGTAGGCTTTAAGGGCAACAGTGATCCCCACTCTAAAAACCCAAAAGGAACAAAAAAACCCAAAAGGACTCTTCCCAAACAGAAACAAAAATATCAATACATCAGTGAACCCAGACAATACAACATGACAATCCACAACTTCAAAATCAATAGGAACAAACCCCAAAAAAGGAAAATGATAAGCCCAATGTAAACCCTCAGACACCTGACCCCTCTTAGATGTAGTTGTCCCAAGCCAGTACTGTGAGTTCACCGTACCCAATTAAATTTAACAAACTGATTATTTAACTATAAGAGAAAAGAGAAAAAAACCCTAAAATTAATTATATTCCAGTCATACATCCCCCAAATCACCCTACGACCCACACAGACCACTCACTGAACACTCCGGCACATGCACACAACAGACACACCATACAACCCAAAAGTTAAATGACCAGCACAATTGCCCAAATGCAACTCCAAAGAGGAAAAGTGAGCAACAAGTTCCTGTGACGATACGTTGGAACCTACAACCAGGAAACACTACAGCCATCCAAGGTGTCTCAACCTGCCTCACATGCGAGCAGGTTAAACTGGAAAAAAAAAATCACCAGACCCACCCCCCCTTGGTATCGGAGACTCTCAAATTCCCAAAAGCAACCTCCACAGCACCTGACATGCGGTGGGATAAAACCCATCTTGCACGTAACGTGAGTTGCCGACATCGGCATAATCGTATTTAACTTCAAGCAATTGCTATTCTTTTCTTAGCTCAAAAGCAGCATTGATTTGTTGACCTGCGTTCCCTTGAAAAAGTTGTTTTGACTCACACACCAGACACTGACCATGTCCTGGTTTTATGTCTACATTTTATTCACGGGCATCGATAGGCCCATTTTAGAGGGGCTTCAGTCCTTCTGAAATGCTCTTCAGTCCCCCCGTTGTAAATGTACACTATTAAGTTTAAATGATGTGTTCTTGTTTACTTTCATTCAAATGAAAAGAAAAACCTAGTAAAAGCTTGGCCCCCTTTCCCATAAATCTCTAGTGACACTCCTGATCTTATTTATAGCAGAACATGGAGGTAAATACCCGGCATGAGTCTAAGAAACAATAGGAGCTAAAACGGAACCTGTCCCGTGGTTTGTGGCATGTTTATGCTCAGCTATGGGGATACTGAGCGTCTCGGGGGACCAGCTGTCTCACTCTTTGCCTGACCTACCTGCAGCACCCAAGGAACATTCCTGCAGTTCACTCCACATTCACTCCACTGAAGGTCTGCTCTCATTTTCCATTACCAGATTGGTTCCTAAATAAATCTAAAAATCCCATAAATGACCCCATATATTTGATTAAGCATCTGCTTTCAAATAAAATGGAGTCTGTTGGCTTAATCCTGACGGTGCTACGACATATTTGGATGAAGAAAAACGTGATCGGAAAGTAATGTGTTTACAGCTACAGAGATTCCATCTTGCAATCTTATTTAGAGTTTTTAAAAAATCATCTTAATGGCGTGCAGAAGAGATTCTCCAAGGCAAGCTCCATCCCGCTCCAGTGAAAACTTCTCCCTAAACACATCATTATCTCAGTAATTCAATAGCACGCATAGTTATCCTAGCTGCCTTTGTCCCCGATTAATTCCGGAATGTATGTGCTGTAAACATGCCCCCTTCCTGCTATCACAAGCCTGCCTCACCTGGTGGATCTACGGTTACTTTTCATTACACTGTTGCTGCCACAAGGCCTTTAGTTAGAAGAAGGGCCTTGATTACTGGCAAGTAGGACGGTTTCCATATACCTGCAGTAGATAATACAGATGCTGTGTTGAAGGCCTGAATTAAGGATCCTTAAATTATAGTTTAACTTCTGAGGGACCGTGGGACACCTTGGGATTCCTACATGGGTATTCAAATAGCCACTAAAGGCATAAGTGTGCTTTGACAAAAGTTTGGATTCCTGTCTTAAATAATTAACCACGTTACTTCACCTTTACACTGCTTTTATGCTCTTCCTAAGTAGACGTACGTGAAACGTGAAATCTTGAAATGGTTGGAGTTCCTATACGTGCTACATAAGATACACCTTGGCCAAGTGGGGGACCTAATTAGCATGTTATCCTTTAGATACGCTACATTGGGAGAAGAGGAGCTCAGAAAACTGCAGAGATCACCGCTGCATCAGTGCCACGCAGATTCGCTTATAGGTTCAATACCACATCTGAACTATTTACCTCTTCTTGTAAACTGATAACAGCTAGCAGCAGGCTAGGCTTCGTAGTTAGGCGGAACTCTACTTGCAGGAATTATCATAAATAATTTTGGGAGACTTGGAAATCAGACCACTATCTCGTCTTGGAAACCTACCACCTTTGGTTGTAATTATTCCTACTGTCAGTTTTATTATTTATGTTCAAAATCAATCACATGCAAGTAGTTATATATTATTTTCTTTTCTCAAAACAACATTTATACGGGAAAAAGAAAACTTTTGCAGGTGATTGCACATGAGAAGGATCAGAACATTACATTTGCATGTAAGTTCAAATATGGAACAAGGTTACGTGAAGGTGACAAGAAAAGCAGCTTCTTTAAAAGCAGCAGAAAGAGCAGATCTTGCTTTCAGGTTGTAGTTTGTGGTTTTCTAAGGACAAGGAGAAAAATGACTCACTGGTAGATAAGAACTTGCCTGCTAGCTTCCACGTCACGAAATTACTCGGAATACTTTGTGAAAATAGACGGTGCTGTCCGCAGGGTTCTGCCCAGACGGCATGGATTTAATAATATTTGTAAAACACCCTTCAAATGCTGTGGTAGCACAATGCTCCCTGCGCTGATAAGGAGATAGTGGACAGAACATTTTCCACCGGGTTCTCCAGACTCTGAAACCGGCAGGCATTAATCACTCGCTGAAAAAGTGTTGACTCTATGCCCTAAATGAAGCACTCTACTGTCGTTACTGCGTCAGTCACTAATGCAGAGGCGGAATCATGAGACTTTCCACAACTTACTTGTGAATCGGTACGCGGGGGGGAAAAGGGAATTTGATAAGCAGCAATTAGCAGATTTGCACAAAGATCCTGGCTTGAATACAAGTGTAAATGCTCATCTTGGAAAAAAATAAACTATAATTAATACTTTTCCAGCAAAAATGTTATGCTTTTGTATAGGAATGATTCGGTTTTGACATATGCCATCTTGTTCTCCTCTGAGAGCAAAGTCTGAAGTCAAACTGGAAGGTCAGCCATTTTTCTGGCATGCCTGGAGCGATTTTTTTGGTTAAGGGCCTTGCTCAAGGGCTCAACAGTGACAGGATTACACAGCTGGCAACAGGATTTGAACCTAGCGACCTTCCTCACATACATCACTCCGTCCCCCGAATAACAGGCACACCTCTCTGGATTCATAATTGCATGAATTTAAATAATAAATAGTTGCAGACTAAATCAGAATTGATTACACTATATTCTCTGCTTTATTTACAGTGTCTGTAATAATAATACTTAGTAGATGACATAAATAATAATTAATAATATGGTCTTCTCATGCTATTCTGCTTGGTTCTTTCATCAGTTTCCTCTTGGACTGCAGTGTGTGTGTGTGTGTGCGTGTGTATTGGAGAGCTTAATCTTCTCACTTGGTTTTGCCGAAAGGTGTTTAATACACATGTGATGCTGGAGTTTGAGACAGCTGGGGATTACTGGACAGCCAGCCAAGGGACAACTGGTCCAGGGGTCACCCGGACTCTGGATTCTGACAGCCGTGTCTACTGGGAAGGGCATTTTACACTGGGCTTAATACTACTCATAACCACAAAATAACAAGTCTACATATATTTCTTTCAAAGTAACCAATGTGTCATTTATTCAGGTTGTCAGGGATCCGGGCGGCTCGGGCACGGGAACGAGGCATGGTGCACGAAAAAGGGCGGATGACCTACTTGCGGCTCAAGGAACAGAAAAGGGGTTTATTACATAAAACAGAAAACACAACAAAACCAAAAGGACCACGAGGGGTCAAAAAACCAAAGGGAATAAACTAACACTACAAATACAATTAAACCAAACTGGGCAGGTAAACATACGACAGCGCTAACTTAGACAAGCAACAACACACCGGAACACATCATAGACAACGAACCACTAGAGAACAGAACAGAAGCAGGGACTTAAATACAGAAACCAAAACTGGGTAATAAGACTAACACAGGACAGGTGAGGCTAATTAACAGAGACCAGGGAAACAGGGCACAGGTGAAACTAATACTCAAAGGAACAACACAGGGAAACTAAGAACTAACCAAGGAAACAGGGAAATAGAAACCAACACTAGGGAATTTCAAACAGGTAAAGACACAAGCAGGGGCACAAGGAACAAAACCAAAACCAACTACAAAATCAGACACAAGAACTAAAGAAACTCAAATGAAACCTTAGGGAGCAAAATACAAAAACAGGAGGTGGGATTCAAACACGACAGAAGGGTACTCAGGACAGAAGGGTACACAAACAACCACATGCTCAACACATTGAGCCACATGACCAGACAGGTAACAGGGGAGAACAAAGACTAACGTAAAGAACACCTGCTGGTCAAACGGGGAAGGGACATGGAAGGACCACAGCAGGGGCTGACCCTGACACTGGTGCTACACACCAACTTCTAACAAAGCAAGAACTTAATAAGACTGTTCAAGAACCAGAAATGCAACAGAAGAATATTCATGGAACGTAAACTCCAGGCCCAAACATCCTTTCTGAACAGAGGGCGAGAGCAAAGTAACATTAGGCATGAGGCATTACTCTTCTTTCACATTAACTAAATAGATAAAGCTTCTAGGGAAATTTCCGCAACTTCATCCACAACAAATTATTTTATCCGTATTCTAAGAACTCAAACGATTTTCCAGGTAATAACAAAAATTGGTGGTAACACTTGGACACTCTGATGAGCTAAAGCCCAAGTTAAACTAAACAGAAACAGACATGCCGTGAACTACAAACATCCTTAAGCAAAGCTGTCTCCGATCACCTTATGACAGACATGTGGGACCTCGATCCGCTGCACGGTGTCAATGTGACACTGCCCGATACCGCCTCATTAAACATGAATGACAGACGCTCTGCTCCTCTTTTGTTCCACAATACAACTAATAAAATATGGATGAACCAAGGGGAGAACCAGCAGGTACTAGAACAACTCACCAGAGGGTAAGTAAGACACAGCTCAGTTTTTTCTTTACTGCCGATCCAAACATTAAGATAAGATAGAACTTTATATATACCTCGGAGGGGAAATTTCTTTATTCAGTATCATACAATGGATATAATATATCAAAGGATATTTTAACTGGAGATAAATACAACAATAAATGACAAGTGGACGGTAAATGAGTAAATAAAATTAAACTGTATTCAAAAAGAAAGAACTGTAAATGCAGTACGAATAACATACGAGTACCTGTGATTATAGACGCCAAACCCCAAATGAATCGCAGCGCTTTTTAAACATTACACGCGTGTTTAACACTGAAGACCATGACATGGCCTGAAATACATCAGGTTAAAGAGTGACTGACACTGCTGTACCCTCAATGTGACTGTGTTTACATAAGGTTACATTCCAGTGCCCACGGGATTGATGTCTGTGTACATTTTAAGACCTTTCGCATATCTCTGTTTAAAATGCTGAAGTGCATGGGAATACCACTCTCCATTCCTCCAGCTCCTGTCCTTACAGAGGATCTTTTTTTCCATTTACGACATTGGGAGACACAGCTGCCGCTTATGAACGAACATAAACAAATGAGTAGCTGTAAAAAAAAACAGGGCTTTCAGTCAAAAAGAATGTTTACCTCCAAGAGTAACCATCACAAATCTTACAAATTCCCAAAATCCACATATAATTAAGCTGTGAGCTCATTTCTGAGGCAGCTGACTCTTCATTCATGACTGAGTATGGCTACATATCCTCTTGCGACAGGGCAGGGAACAATTTCACGATGAGTATTTCGTTAACCTCTTTCCAGCAAAAATGTTATGCTTTTGAATCACATATTATCCATATAGGACTTAGTATACCATCAAAGGCCCTGTATGTTTGGTTATGTGCATTTGACATATATACCCACAATGCACTGGTGTGGAGCTTTCAGCTGCATGAATTGCTGACTTAGCTGTAATTGTTTGTTATTCAAAATGAATATTTTCAAAATTTTCCAAATAGAAACACCACTTTTGAAAAGAGTGGTGATGGAGGAAAAGATGAGGAAGTTTCTGATAGTTATATTCATTCTGGGAATGTTTGCCAGCCGTTACGATTAAGGTATGGAAACGTTTAGTGCCAAGAATTCCTGAAGTTCCCAGAACATTATTCCACTACTACAACTAGGAATAATAATATATATCCCCGTAAAGGGCATGGCAGGACAGAGCGTAACACTGTCCCTTGAAACACCAAAGGTCAGGGGTTCGGGGGGGGGGGCATGTGTTTGGCGCTTTTATAATATTTTACTATAAAACAGTATTTGTCAACATTAATTGCTTTAAAAAGATGCTTGGGTAATAATATTATCGTGGTGACACTGACAGAACCTTTGTTTAAATGTAAATGGCGTTCCATTAATATTGCAGTAAGAATTCTCTCTGAAGCTTTCAGAAGACCCACGCATAATGTTCAGTGAAGTTCTGGGGATGTTCCCTGTTAGCTGGGTACATATATGCAAGTAGAGAATGAAACTGAAAAAGGATTATAATCTGTTATTCAGGCACAACAAAGTGTCATCAAAATATCACAATCACCATATATAAATCTTAATAAACCTAGAAAGTTTGTGGCAACTCCTGACACTGGGCTTTGGAGAGATAAGCTTCTTGCGAATTGTTTGTATCCAAATTATGTGGTTAATATGGTTTACACTTGTTGCTGTTATTGTTGTATAAAAAAAATCTACATACATTCAAGCTAATCATGTATATTGGGGAAGTCATTGCTGTTAGGATCTGGACAAAAATGAATGAGACATGTTTTCTCGATCCTAGTCTGGCTCAGAAAGAAAAGGGAATGTGTGGGGAGAGAGACCGAACTTGACTGATGATTCTGCCTGCAGGTTGCAATCAGGGTCAGTGTGTCCAAGCTTCCTCCTGAATCTGCAACCATTCGGCACAGAGACGGTTCTGTCTGAAACCGCTGTGGTGTAATTGGCTCCCTGACTGTGCTCCCCCAGGGCCACGAGGGCCAAAATGTGGCCTCCTGGTGACCACATAATCCCCGTGGAATGGCCCTGATCAGTACTGTAACTGGGATTCTGTGGATCACATGAGTGATGCAGTCAATGATTATGAAGCTGCGTCTATGATCAGGAGGTTGTATTAACGTCTAGATTCACAGAAGACTGCCGAAGTCTAAAAAGACGTTCCTCTTAAATGACAATCTTTGGAAATAAATACCAAGCTGGATATAATTCTGTGGCTGCAAAACGAATTTGACTACATTTGACTACAGAAAAAGTTGTTTAAATCTTTTATCAGGCATGAATTAAAACTAGACGTCGAGCTCAGCATTTAATAACCTATAAGCAGCGTATTGGTTTTGGAGTCCACAACCCAAATGACAATGCTCTAATGAGATTATTTCAGGTGTGATGGGTAACTTTTCTTCTCTGGTTAAGTTCTGTAAAAGGTTTAATTCCTGCACCTATATCTCATACCCATTAGTACATGAGATATCTTTAGTAACAACAAGTTCAGAAACAACATCAAATAGACGTGATCATGTTCTATACAACCTGAAAAAAGAGAATGTGCTTAAGTACCCTAAATGTTTTCAATTCTCTATATCAATCGGGAGAAATTCTAGAACCATGTGTATCAGAAGTTATACATATTTATGCTAAATATGGCTGCTGCCTTCATTTGGTGAAGTGTTCCATTTGGCAAACGTTTCTGGAGTAATAAGTCAGATTGATTCTGTGCTCCAGGACACATTTACGAAGCAATAAAATACATTAAGAGCTGGAGACACTGGGCTGTTTTGTGCTGATATAGTTTAACAGCTGTGTTTCCCAGGGAGATAATTCCTCATAATAATTATGAGGGGAGGTTTAACCAGGCCTGAGTTTTAAAGGTGTCCTGAGTGCTATCTGCGAACGTTACTGTTCATAAGGTGAGAATTAATGTTCTTAATAAGAAGAACATCAAGACTCTATCAGAATTCAGCCAGATCTTCTCTTTTCTGAGTTCACCGGCACGTTTGGGGTGACGAGTGTTTTTGTCTGTGAAGTAAAGCTAATGCAAGAGTTTCCAAAAAAGGGAAAAGCTAATGAACAAAGATTATGTCCAGGGGAATATCTATCTGGGTATTTTCCATATCTGTTAGCTGTACAACCAGAGTTCCTACTTCGTAGACTTATACGTCATTTGCTCAGTCATGTCTTTACTAACACAGGGGGACAGAAGCGTCGTCAATGGAAAATCCAACAGAGGCAGTCACTACTGTTTCCAAGAAAGACGACTGCTCCACTCTGAAGTACAAAATCCAGAATAAAACTGCCGTAGGTCAAACCTGTCAGGGAGTCACGCCTTAACCGAAACAAACTCTTCGTCTGCTGTGGTTGAACTGCTTATTTGGTGTAATGATTCACCAGATTCAATTTCATTAAAACAAACAGGCCACCTGTAGTAAATATCTTTTTTAGATTAAGACATTTTGTTTAGTGCATTTCAATTAAGTTTTTAAAGCAGGCTTTCATTTGGTATTTTAATGTTAAATGCAGCAGTAATTGTTATAAACTTTGCGAAAATGAACATCTGCTATATACTATTTTTTTAAAAACTGAATGAATTTCATCATAGCAAATATTACATATATATATATACATATATATATATATATATATATATATATATATATATATATATATATATAAATTCTGTCTTTGGACAGAAATACCCATAATTTTCCATTGTTGGCTAGATTATAATTGCCTTTGTAAAAAGTCTCTTCAACAATTATTCAGTGTTATCACACTGAAGCACACACCTATTCTGAAGGCTGTTATAAATCCATACAATAACTTAACCACATCCAGTCATAGTAGGACTTTATTTAAATGCATGCTATCCCTGTTGTGCGTAATAAAATACAAAACCCAGTTATTTTTCATTGTTGGAAAATAAAATCAGTTTCAGCTTAACAAAAAAGGTAGGCCTAATTATAATCTTTAATTTGTTTCGAAATAGGTAGTTATTTACAGTGGTGGAGGAAGTACTGAAGCTTAGTACTTAAGTAAAAGTACAAATATCCTGCAAAATATGTACTCAAGTAAAAGTAGAAGTGCTACATCAATAATCTTACTTAAGTGAAAGTACTAAGTACTTACTTTTAAATTTACTTTAAAGTATTTTTTTAAGTAAAAGTATTCACACAATGGTTTGTCTCAAGGTCTGGGGTGTGCCATTTTGTAAAAGAATAGTAGATATACTGACTTACGCCTCTACCGATGTCATTGCTTGTAATAATTACAAGCAACTATACAGTATATGTGTATTGGAAGGTTTGGTGTGCTTATTGTGCGTACACTCTGCAATACTGTGTGTACCCTAACTTAGAGTTATGTGGATGACAAGTTATCTACTAGGTATTACCCACTAATATACCATTAAGATAAACCAATCAGGACATGATATATCTTTAAATCATTTATGTACTTGCAAAACTATTCAACACATCTGTTAAGAGCAGTAAAAGGGAAACATAACAGTAACCAAACACTAGTGGTGGGGTGGCGCCATGTTGAATGTCTCGTCTTCTTGAAATCAAGCCAGTCTACCAGCTCGTGCTGCCAATTGACTCGCACTCTGCCATCATTGGAACTAATTGAGTCACCTGATTGGTAGGAAATGGCAAACAACGCCAGAACGCAATAGGCTAACTATTTCAGGCAAGATTTTGAGGAAATTGTGTTCATAAAATGTAACGACTAATGGCATAAATTGTAGAAATGTAGTAGAGTAGAAAGTACAGATAATTGCCGCAAAATATAATGGAGTAAAATAAAAAGTATGCATTATTATTTTTACTTAAGTAAAGTACAGATACGTAAAAATGTACTTAAGTACAGTAACGAAGTACAAATACTTTGTTACATTCCACCACTGGTTATTTAATGCCACTTTTAAAACCAATTATTTCTTTAAAAACAGTTAAGCAGATTTGTTTCTGTGAGGTTTACGGTTGTCTCATGTAAGAGCTGTACAAGATACGTTGAATATCAAATATAATTGCGCAACTCTTCGAACATGACACTTGCAACAGTGAAGGCCACTTGTGAGGTAAAAATGAAAAATCCATGTACCATATTTGCAACAAACAACAGTGAATTGCGTGATGTACAAATTTTCTACTACCTAAGATATTCTCGTTCAATTCATTGCTCATATTATCCATACATTGAATGGCATTGAACAAGTTAACAAGTTAACAAAATGCAACAGCCATAACCTGGACTGAACTCACGGTCAGCACAATGTTTACCCACAGATGACGGACATCGGTTTCCGTGACGAGGGCCCGTCACCGCGGGATCACATTTAGACTGATCTCTCCTGTCAGACACACCGGTGGGTACCGAGCTCACCTGTCCGGTCCACTCCGGACTATGCCGACTTAATGTGGCATCTCAAAGTGAGCGGCGCGCCGGAACAGCACCTGATCCCAGACATGGAAGACACGTGGCAGCAGGGACGGTTAGATCGGTGCGGTACATATATAGTTTGTTAGGAAAACCAGGGTCTTCTGGAGCAGAACAAGCAGAGAGTCAGCTGGAGAGATAAACGCCTTTAAATTACATGTGATTAAAAAAAATAAAGACGGATGCATGAATCACATATTATCCATATAGGACTTAGTATACCATCAAAGGCCCTGTTAAAATGAGCAAGATAGAATTTAAAGGAATGCCCGTTCAAATAGTTTGTTTTATTAAAACAAATGTAATATTAGCGGACACATTCTGCTTTTAAAGCGCATAACTTTTTGAAAATGTGCTTATGACCTCCTTATATACAATAACATGTAAAAGATTAAATGAAGATCTTGTTCTCCTATGCACTGAATGCAGCTATTCTATGCACTACTGTATATATCATCCATATTTAGACCTACATGACAATATTTGTAAAACACCTGCTGACGAAACAAGCATATTTTATAGACAGTACTGCTATTTGTTTTATGGATGCTAATGACGTCCACCACAGATATCTCTGTAGCCTACTACTCTGCATGTGCACGGATTAGCACGTCACGAACCTTTTCCTTTGGAAGTACGGACACAGTAGACTGCCGCAGTATGTTACAACATAATTTTGCTTTTATACACATATTTTACTAGAAATCTACCTCCATCTAAGCATTAAAAGAAACTGAGGATAAAACAGACAGTCTTTTCTGATGGAAACATTCACTTTAAAAATGTTGCATCGACAATCTTGCAGAAACACAAAGATAACTATATCACTATAAGCAATTTTTGTCACACAGTACAGGTTTAATATATAGCCAGAAAACAGTGCACAACTAATGATGCGTGTATAAGAACATAGGCCTACATGTTGAACTGAAAACTTAAACTTCAGTGCCTGCAGATATTTGATCAGGTAGCATAACGACAATGTTTATTGTAATCTACTCAACAAACCGCCATTGTATAATGAATATAATAAAAACACATTTACAGGGCAATAAACAGTAGAACTCCTGGATGCATTTACTAAAACAGACAATATACATAAAACTGATACATTTCAATCATCCATGCGGCAATTAATTTCAAAACGGACAAAAGCAGCAGTTGGCTACACCTAAACAAATGAGCATGATATTTCCTATGAATACAAACAAATCATTTAAAAATGTTGACCATTCACAGGTAGGCTATAATTTACCAATACAAAAAGCAATAATATTTAACAATAATAATAATAACAACAACAACAACAATAATAAACGTGTTCTCACATTCCTTCAAAGATAAAAAATAGAAAACTTTTTTATTTAAAAAGTCCCTCTTGGTGTCTGCTTTTACTTATGTTAGCAACTATATTTACTTTTCTGTAATGAAATATACACGCATTCTTAGTAAAGAAGTTTTGACCACGGGAAAAGTTACCGCAAATCCCAAGGAATCACTTCATATAGTTCTGTTGGTCATCCATGAAGCTCAACACATAAAATTCTAAGTTGAACCGCCAGTTGATAAGATCTTCCGGTGGAAACCCCCAGCAAAATAACTTCGCTTGACATTTGTATTATGTTATGCTTGAAAAAGGCAGATTTCATACAGAAACTGCCAAACGCTTGCGTCTCGTTCTTTGTCCGATCCCAGGTTAATACGCACCGACGACGACCGCCTCCACCTCTTTCGATTGCCTTCTGTCCGTCACCAAAAAGTTGATCATGCCTTCCGACTTTATGAGAAGGTTGCAGCCTAAGAAGAAGATGCCGAAGACCACGGTGAGCGACAGGACGCACATCACTGCTATCTGCACAACTCGCATTATGAAGAGGCTCCTCTCGTCCGGGGCTGTGGCCACAAAGCCACTATCTGTCACTACAGATGAGAAGTTGCAGCATTTGAGGATTCCTTCACTCCTGTTGGAAAACAGTCCAGCAGCATCCGTTTGGTTGAATGCAGAAGAATTCATTTTCAACCAACTTGGGAGTGCGCCGTCAAACACAGAACAGGTGGTCCCTTTACTTCTAAAATACTGCTTTAGGAATGCATGCACATTTCAGTTCAGCAAAAAGCGCTCCAAAAGGAGAGCAGAAAAAAGCTTTACTTTTCACTTGACTTGTTGGTACCCATCTCTGCGCGCGTGCCTTGGATACGATCAACTTGCGCTGTCTGCGGCAAACCCATGGCTGATATACCTGGTTGGGTGAAACCATTTACAGAAAGAGGAGACTGAATTAATCCTCTCGTAGCGAGGTAAGATAAGCCAAATAACGCCCCCTACCTGCAGTCTCAGTCACAACATGAGCGCTGGGTCAGTGAGGAAATTGTCGCGAACTGGGTCGCATTCAGTATTAGTGAGTTACTGAAATATTTTTTCCTCTCACTGAAAACAATTATTGGGCCAAATACAACTACTGTACAGTAAGGTTTGTGGGCGATATTACTTTAGCTTTGCAACAATGCTGTCAAGCTTACCAATGTATTACATCATAGACTATCGAAAAATGGAATCATTGGACTGGAATAATTGGACTGGAATCATTGAACTGCCTCAAAGGTCTGAAAAGAAAAATGTGTATCAGTCGTATACTTTTTTTAACGCTATGAATTATTGAGCAATATTTAGCCAAACTAACTACAAATACTAATTCTGGCTGGTAGTAATTCTGCATAAAATAACAAATGTATAGCTCGTCTCCTGATGAATTAAAAGTAATTTCAACGAACACTGTCTTTCATCGACACCTGCTGGACGTCTGTGTCATGCTTCTTCATAAATAGGCCCAAATGATCTGAATTCATTTTTGTTAATGATTTTTTTCCAGTAGAGCTCAAGTCATTAATGAATCTGACTTATAGATAGTATATACACGCCTTGGTACAAGTCTCATTCATGGTATTCCTGAGTGAATTATACTGCGTAATTAAAGTGGTCTACCGCAGTATGTAACCTTAAGTGTTTGTTTTTCATGCTTCCCTTAGCCTTTACCTTTATTCTGAGAACTAATCTTAGCGATACTGTAAGTATAGCGCCGCAGACATAATTCCTGGATATCCGTTTCTGTCGGGGATATTCAGTCTCCTTGAGCAGTGCAGTCCTCAAAGACATGGTTATTAAATTATTTTATTATTACCGCCATCCCTTTATAACACCCACATTGCATTTAATTGCGTGTAGCAGCATTTATAACTACAAATTAAAAAAAATACATGCATCATATGCTAATTAATTATACTCAATAAAGGGATTGCACGGTAGAGGGCGCTGTCAAGCTCCAGCTGATCGTGGGATTACAGAGTTTTCCATCCATCCATCTTCCAGCTGGCAGCTGGCTATTCAGTACAGGCCATGGGGATCCTGGAGTCAATCCCATGGAGCACTGGGTAGAAGGCAGTGGAAAACTATATAGACTGGATGCCAAACCATCTCAGGGGACACACTGTCACCATATTGGGAATTTAGAGATGCTGATTCATGTAACTTTGTATCTTTTCTCCGCAGGGAGCACTCAGGATTTGTGACGTAACAGTGATGCTCCAAGAGTGGCTGGGTTTCCCTTCCATCGCAACCAAAACCGTTGTTATATAATTGCCTGTTTCTCGGTTTCTAAATTCTCTGGGAAGGCTTTGGTAATGTGGCTGCCAAATCATTTATTAAATGTATAACATTTGTATTCATTGGTATTTTTTTGGGAACAGCTGTTGAATATTTTTCCGAACAAACCCAACATCTGTGGCATGGTCAAGGAAGGTCTGATCCACTTAATGAGTTTATATATATATATATATAAAATACATATGAAGTGTCATTACAGGGTTTAACCTTTTAGAAGGTTTTATAAAACCTATAATCACCAGGTATCAGTAGGACATAGTTGTTAGTGTAATCCCAGTTAATACTTTTTCTTAAAGGCTAAATTGTAAAATTAATTTAAATATTAGTAATAGAACAGAGTATTTATGCTGTATTTGTCCCGGAGGCGAGATTGTTATTTTGCTGACAGTATATCCCATCTTACTCCAAGAGGCATAAAAACACACACGCGAGACAAAGCTTGTGGTTCATGATGCAGGGTTGGGCACAACAGTGATATCTGTCGGTTACCATAGGATTTGAACCAGCAACTTTCTGATCACAGGCACAGAGTTCTAAACTGCTGAACTGCACACCACCCCCAATATAAAATTAATTAGTATGTCAACTTTGGATACAGCGGTAGTACTGTAACAACTTAGTGAATCATTTTTAATGTCATAAATGGCTAGACTGAGTAACGTATTTCGAAATATCGCGTTCGTTCTCGCACTGGCCTACATTTCCCAAGTGCCTTTGTAGCTCTGTCGCGAATGCGACACGGTGAGTGACATATCGCTTAGCCAATAACTGAGTGGAAATGCGGCGCCGATGCGCCGTGGGTTCAAGTTCGCCTGCGCCTGGACCTGTGGTTTTTTTCACGGTATCGCTGCCAGGAAACGAGTGGACGTTAGGGCAAATCGCATGTTCTCTTGCCATTCGGATAAAATTTAAAGCATTTGCTATTTACTCTTCTTTGCAATAATGAGAAGGTACACAAGATGACGGCCTTTGGAGTGACTAGATAACTGACTGCATCTCCAAAAAAGAGCTTCTACCTTCCCTGCGTAATAATTTAACCAGCGTTTATTCCTATCGACATGTAAATATCGGTTGGACAAAAAAATATAATTTCGGACTATTTGTATATATCACAGGCATATGCAACACGTTGTTGGTAAGCAAAGCTGTAAATGATATACAAGACCGGATTATTTTACAGTAAGTATTGCAGACTTTTAAAATCTAATTGCACTAGAATGGAATTCATGGAATTTAAAATAATGCTTTTACTTTGATCCTATATATTGGCACATTTTACGCACTGGAAAAAATATTACAATATCATTCGACGGATGTACTAAGACTCACTTATTCAATTTTACTTGCATTTTAAATGATAATTAATGCGGAGGGCGTCTGTTTTGATGTAATTGCAGAACTGATCTGATGAAGCGGTCATTTCTGTACCATTGCATCCACTTCAATTTGAAGTGACTTTTCCTCTCCGTTTTTCTTATCTCGGTACACCTGTATTTTGGTTTTGCTGTTTGTTTCCTGGCATAACCTACTTTCTAACAAATGTTCATTATTTATTTGTTGTTTATAATGACAGTAATAATATAATAACTCATAATATGTTATTATTAACTCAGATAATGATGTCGTCATATATTCATATATAAGATATGTCAAAATTGAAAAAAGTTAAATATTTTGGCGTTTTTAATATTGGTTCCGATGTAGTACTACGTATGTAATATGTACATCTTGGATTTCAGTATTTAACCAAAATGAACAATGCTAAAGTACTATGAATAACCATATGAGAACTGGCAGGTTTTGAGACACGTTCCATGCTTAGGGTACTGCTGCAGCTCTGTAAGTGGGTTCTGACCTGGGTAACACGCCTGCAGTGCAAATGTACAACCACGGGCGTAACTTTGGGTTGAACATTGGAGGGTTGAGGTCTCCACCAATTTAGGGGGGTCCAGGGAGTTGTATTGGCCGGTTTTAATTATTGGGTGGGGGTTTCCACCCCCCATCTCCCCGTAATTTACACCCATGCGTACAACTTTGTGTTTTATCAACAATTACCCTGCGCAATGTCTAGATTCTCTCTTATTGAATTCACAGTATCATGTATTTGGAATTCGCAAATTTCTTGCGCGCATATATAGGCTACACACATACAAACGCTCATTGGCTTATTAGGTACAGCCCCTGGTTAACACGAACTGCTTGCTCTTCCAAGTAGGAAATCACGTGGCTGCAACAGAATACTATATGCAGCATGCTGTCAGGGTCAAGAGGCTTAGTCACTGTTCAGTTAAGTATTGGAATGTATAATACGAGTGACTGCCATTTTACTCGTGTCTGATTGTTGGCGCCCCTCCTGGTGGCCTCTGCGTACCAGAAGCAGCCGTTCTCCTGGGATTCTCATGCGCTACGGTGTCGAGGGTTTACAGAGCATGCCGCAATAAACAGAAAACATGCAGTCAGCCGCAGTTCCGATGCCAAAAACACCTTGTTAATGAGAGAGGTCAGAGGATAATGGCCAGACCTATTAGTGCTGACAGGATGGCCACAAGTGCAAAAATAACAGCTCAGTGATGTGCAGAAATGCATCTTTGAATGTGCAGCTTGTCAACACTTCAAATGGTTCTGTAGACAAAAGGAATCCTTTCTGGTTCTACACCGGGGTACCTAATAAAATGGCCACTGAATGTAGATATATATTATTTTCTTTGTCTTTTTAGTAGCTGTTTGGATTGAGGTGTCTGCCGTAAAGTCTCAAGAGAATAAAGATATTTTTAATTCCTTTTACATTTTAGATGTATTTTTTTGTCTGATCATACCAGAAGTGGGAGCTCGATCATTAGGTGTAATTTTGCTTTGGTCTTTTTTCTTATTTTTTTATGAAATTTGTGCCTTTTTATCCTGCTGACACGGAATCATTCTTGTTTTCCTCACTTTGACATGGGCAAGGCAGCTTACTGTACAATATAAAGTACATTCGTATTAAAATGCTGAGTTGCTTAAATTGTTAGATGGGCTTTTTACGGTGGCAGGATACAACATGGGGGGGGGGGGGGTTTAGAACGGGGGTGCATGTTGAAATGATTGCCGCGATGTAGTCATCCTTCCGGCAAATTCATAGCAACCAGGCCCTAGGCTGAGTGGAGGCACTTTCTAAATGCTCAGTGCTTCTTGCACAACTCATTAGCCATTTATTGCAGAAAATGTAGAAAAATGAGCAATTAAGAGCTGCTAATGGGATATTATAAAGGATGGACACTGTGGTGTAAGGCAACATTTTTCTGCTATAGGGTTTTAACAAATGTAGAAGACAGATGCTCTCTGTACACAGTTTGTGTGTGCGTGTATGGCATCCTGAGAACGTTTGTGTCCGGCACGGCCCATAAGCGCATACTGAGTTACAGGAAGACCCCCTGGGCCTCCTGATTGTACACGGGGGGCCCTGATTGGCCCCCCAGGTGCTCTTGGGCCATCTGATGGCCGCTTCTCGGAGTCTCTTGTGTTGAGCAGGGGTCCTGGCGATAGGGTGCCTCCGGAGGACGATAAGATGGATAGACGGCTGGGTCCTCTTCCAGGAGGCCTTGTGGAGATGGCACGCGATAGGGACTCTGCTCAAAGAGCATTAGAGGAAAACAGACGAATGAACGAAGGGAAATAGACAGCGTGTTTGAGTCTAGCTTTGCCAGTTAAAAACCTTTGCGTTACGCAAATTTTAATTTTAGGCTAAGTTACACTAATCCTTCACATTCTAATAATAAACCAGTTCCTGTGGGCTTTACAGTCACCGAGTCACTGATGAATTACTGTCGGTTAAAGATATGCTTAGTCCGGCAACTTGTCTATTTAAGGTGGTAAGTGCTGTTGACAAATATCACATTAAGTATGTATCAGTTCTCACATCGAGGTGCAATTCCCACCCTTTATTTTGATGTGTTAACCGTTTCGTTCTCTTGATGCTCATACCTTAGAAACGAAGGAGATCAATAAAACACTGGCTCATTATTTCAAGCACTCTGCAAAATAATTTTTAAAGTAGTGCGACCTTAATTGTTTAACAACATGCAGCGTTCCTCTTTAGGCGTTTATGATAAATTCATATTGTTGACTCAGTGTAAAGTATTGAGGAATGGTCTTGGAAGTTTTGACTTTTTTGGGTTTATATTACAAGTAGTATGTTCTGCTGACCATGCAAAGGTTGTGGGTTCAAATCCCGGAGAGCATGAATTGTAACCCTTCCCTGTACTGTAAGTTGCTTTGGATAAGGAAATGTCCAATATTATTTGTATTTAATGGCATTTTGTTAAGGTTTGTACCAGTTGTATCAAGTAATGTCTTGTGTGGGAACAGTTCATGTAATTCTGTGATTAGTAAGAAGCAGGTCTTTGTGGTTCAACTGCTCTCCCATCTGTGGGAGATTGAGCTCAATAACATACTTGAGTGGCAATAATTGTGGAAACTCCTAGCATTTTTGACATTATGCTTTATAAATTACTACATAAATATTGGAGGCAGTGTTGATAAACAATTAAAGAATGTTTACAAAAAGCATACATTGGATGATTAAATAAGCAACTGGAGTAACAGGAATGAAGTTGATGGTGCATGAATGCAAGTGTGTGAGTGAATGGTGCGTGAGTGAATGGTGTGTGAGTGAATGGTGCGTTAGTGAATGGTGCGTGAGTGAATGGTGTGTGAGTGATTGGTGCGTGAGTGCGAGTGTGTGAGTGAATGGTGTGCGAGTGAATGATGTGTGAGTGCGTGAGTGAATGGTGCGTGAGTGAATGGTGCATTAGTGAATGGTGCGTGAGTGAATGGTGCGTTAGTGAATGGTGCGTGAGTGAATGGTGTGTGAGTGTGCACTGCGATGGGTTGGTGCCCCATTCTTGGTTATTCCCTGTTTTACGCCTTTAACTTCTGGGATAGGTTCTGGACCCTCACAGCCTTGCATAGGACAAACAGAAAATGGATGGATGGATGGATGGATGGATGGATGGCCGTCCCACTTGAGGCTTGTTGTGTGTGGAGTTTGCATCTTCTACTTATGCAGTTTGGCAGGTTATTGTCTGTAAAAAAATACAGACAATAACCTGCCTGTACTGCCTGGGAGAGGTTCCATGCCCTCCTGTGACCCTGACTAGAACAGGCAGTTATAGGATGGATGGATGGATGGGTTTTAACTACAAAAACACACAGGGGAATTAGTATCTCTAAATTGCCTAAAAAGCTTCAAACTCAGTTTGACCCTGTATTGAATATGCAGTGATGTGAAATGGACTGAGAAATAATTGATTATTATGTTAATATTGATAACAAAGTCTGTCACACCTTTGACCATTTGGTTTTTTGCTTCTCCTCAGTGGAATGACATCCCGTCGAACCTCATGCCCCATCGCCGTGCCGCGGCCCCATCTCACAGAGCGAGCGCCTCTCCCCCGTCCGGAGACGCGCTGCTGACCCCAGCCGGCACACCCCCCGGCTCCAGGGGCTGCCCACGGACACCATGCGCAGATTCGCCTACTGCAAGGTGGTGCTGACCACCTCACTGGTGTGGGTGCTGGTGGACGTCTTCCTTCTGCTCTACTTCAGCGAGTGCAACAAGTGTGATGACCGGAAAGACCGGTCTCTGCTCCCTGCACTGAGAGGTAGGGGGCGCCCTTCAGCTGCTATTAAATTTCCCTGTTCTCCAGTAAGATTTTTGTTGTCTCCAGTTCGATTAGACTGTCTACAACAATTCCTCTCTTCTCTGGAAGCTGCAGACAGCTGACGTTTAGGTCATATCGCCCCTTTCCTCTCTGCTTTCAGAGTAATACTGTCGGAGATAACATTGCTGATCATGCATATATTTTGATTGTCATACAATACTGCGTTTGTATATTACTGCATAAAATATGTAATATAATATTCAAGGTTATATATCGATTTTAATCACTGGGGAAAAGGGAGGTGATTCTGCTTCTATAAAAAGTTCCTCGCGGGTGTTTTACTGGAAAGCCTACAGTCGTATTGCAAAGATTATCTGAAATGAGGTCTATGCAGAGGCTTTGTCCAGAGAAACAAGAATTAGGCATTTGAAGGTCTGCCAGGGTTGATTTAAACATTCAGTATTTTCCTCACAGCATGCGGAAGCTGCATTAATCATGCAAAATTAATTAATTTTTAGTCCACTTCTCAATTCTGAAGGCCATTCTACCATGCTCTTAGAATTTGCCATTCTTAACATTGGACGTGCATGGAGTTAATGCAACACGCAGTAGTAATTGCTATGGGTAGTGAATAAATTGAGATTGCATTTAAATTACCAGGAATCATTTCTGGATTTTTTTTATGGCACGATTGATTTTTGTTTTTGTCTTAATTTAGATAAATGAGACTTTTGATCTGAGGCCCTTTACAGTAATGGGGAGGGGATTTATTGTTATATATTGTTTACTTTGGGTCGCATGAAATCTTAAACTTGCAAGAAGTTAGAAACACGTTTCAAGCTGAACATCACATGAACTAAAGTGAACAGTTTCTAAAATAAAATACATATTATGAATAACTCAGTCCAGGATACATTGTGCGTTAGTTTATCCATCCGTACGTCCATCCATCCATCCATCCATCCATCCATCCATCCATGTATCCATTTTCCAGGCATTAATCCTGAGCATTGTTCAGGATTGTGTGGAACTTGGAGCCTGTTTCAGGCAGCATATGATGGCGTACCATCCTATACAGGGTTCCAGGTGTGTCTGGGTCAATATTCATCAACACATATCATGTATCCCGATACCAAAAACGTACCAGCGGCTGCTTTTTCCTGCAATATTTCCTTCTTTTGTTGCTGTGTGACCTCAGAATAAGTCATACGTGAGTTCAGTTTGTTGGTGCGTCATTCACCGCCCTGCCTGTCCTTGGGTCCTCTCTGGTGTTTTTTCATCGAATCCCATCGTCAAGTGGAGCTCGTCCACCGACAGCACGGTCTTGGAGTCTAACGGAATGTGGAGTGTTTCCATGCTGCTGTTTATTATGGGAAACCAGGAGATAACCACTAACAGTGGGATGTTGAGGATCGCTTTGTATCTATGGTGTCTCTGCCTTGCAGTAATGTGGGGGTGAGGCCAGATAACACTTGTGATGATACTTGTGATGTTAAAGTGTTTGTGCCTGTTATGTGCGTGTTTTAGCTATTGTGGGCTGGTGTATGGCTCTGTGCCCATAATCTGAAGGTGGCCAGTTCAAATCCCATGGTCACCACAATGATTTTATTGTTGGACCCTTGTGCAAGGCCATAGCCTCAGCTGCTCCAGGGACCATCTCATCCTGCTCTCTTGATTGTTTGTTGCCTTGTGTAAAATCATCTGCTAAATAAGTGTAAATGACTATTGCATGTGGTTCTGCTAAGATCTGGTGTTGAAGCTTTTCCGAGGAGGGCCTTGTTTACGAGGAGTGCATTCATGCAAATGTGTCCCTTCTGAATATCTGTGCGTGCTTGAGGTAAATTGACATTGTTTTTTCTTGCGAGTTAGAACAGGAAGTAAGGGAAAACCAGTGGGTTTGCACTAGTGTCCTCCCACCCGGGCTCCGGCACTGAAATTGGCACATAATAGTAAATGAATGACGGCGATGGAGAAAAATTAAGATATCAACACCATAGTGGGCGGGATTACTGTAAGCTTCTGATTGCTTATTGGCTTAACCTGTCCCCCCAGGGCCATTTCATTGGCTTCTGCTGAGTTGAACCGATCAGCTTAGGCAGTGTAGGATGGAAGAGCTCCCACTTGCACAGCAAGCAAAGGTAGGAGCCGAAAATGTGCATCTCTCGGAGCTTCCTGCCAGTGCTGGCTATTCTATCCTCTCTATCCCAGTGCTGGTATCTTCGACAGCTCTGTTTCATGACTGGAGAGCTCCCACTTCTCTAAAGACATTACTTATGCCATTCGATCCGGTTTAGATTCAGAATCATAACAGACCCGTGTCCTCCAGATGCCCCATTCACTCATTTTGCACAGAACCTTGACGGATATAGATTTTAACTGAGAAATGTTTTTTTTTGCGATTTGTGAGTTTGCAGAGGAATTGTCACCATAGACACAAGTGGCTTGAATGAAAGTGAAGGAAAAAGCACAAAAATGACATGGGGAATGAGCTGTAAGGCTCCATCACATTGTCTGTCCGGTGAATACGAATCACACATGGTATCGGAGCTTTCGAAGCTGACGACAATTGGCTGAGCAATCACGGGAAACGCCCTCTAGTGGCAGAATGCTGCATTGTGACAAACCCAAGAACTCTTCTGTGATAAGTACCAGACCCTGCTAGAGAAACCAAGTTAGAGCTGTCTTAATGAGAACGGGATGTAATATCATAAAATATTCAATTGTTAAGAAGCTACAGGAGTCAGGGAACCTTATCTCTGACTAATATGAAATAATGACCTTTTTTTTTTGTTAAGACGTTTCTGAGCCTGATTGGAAAATATATATTTGAATACACATTTAAACAGTCCTCTTAATTTCTGAACTGAGTTTCAGAGATTAACCTGTGCCCTGTACTACGAAGCGGGGTTACTGGCTTATCGGGGTAACTTGTCGGATTTAAGGTACCACAGTTTAAATGGACTTCATATTCCTTCACTTACATTTTGCCCAGACTACCTTAAATCCGACAAGTTAGCCCGATAAGCCAGTAACCCCGCTTCGTAGTACAGGCCACTGGTGTCCTCAGCGAATCACGGAGCTGACTGGTATTAATGGAGTTCAAGTCAATGTGAGGTTCGCACAATCAACTTCATATCAACTTCATATTACTAATAAAGCTCTTTAGTGCTCTCTTTTAGTGTAGGAATCACTAGGGCTGCATGCAGGACAGGCTTGGGGAAAATGGCAGTATGACTGTCTCCACAAATGCCCCTCGAGAACGGAATCGCCTGGAAAGCACCCCCCGGCAGAACCATTTGGCGTAGTTACGGCATCTATTATTCACCGGGGACGCTGGATTTTCAGCTTAACGACCACTGGTATATTGCAGACATGTATTTTACATGGCCCTGTGAGTACTCCCTGTTCCTGAATAATTCAGAAGTGTTTTGGCCGTTAAGATGGCACGGGCTCCGCTGAGAATGGTAATCACAAGCGGCGGGCGTGCTCTGGGCGGCGGGCGGCACGGGGATCGCGCTCGGGGGGATTCGCCCACACGTCTTCTGCTTTGCTTATGTCATTATAAATACTGTAAGGCAATAAAAAACCCATTTATATAAAGCGCTGTTGTGTGCAGTGCACAACCTTTGCATATGTCTTCATAAAAGCCTTGGAAGTAGTTAAGCAAAAAAAATAATAAAACTTTATTTCAAAGGCCAGAGTGTGAGCAGAAGACACACGGCTCATAAACGGCAGTAAAATGAAATATGCTGATTCCTTTACAGCGACCTTCTGATGGTCTGTGTATTGGAGTTCAGGTATGTGTGTAATTATCCGTCCATATCTGTCGTACAACCACTTACGCGGGCAGTCCATTGCAAATGCGCGTGCACACACACACACACACACGTACACACACGCACACATATACACACGTACACACACACATGTACACACACATGTACACACATACACACACACGTACACACACGCATGTACACACATACACACGTACACACATACTTACACACACATGCACACACACACACACCACATGTGCACATGCACATACACAGACATGCACACACACACTCGTATACACAAACACACACACACACACACACAGATTAGATATCTATATCTTTGTGGGAACTCTATAATCATTTCTCTCAGCATAACCCTAATCAATGTCAAAATAATAGGATTTTGTCATATTTGGTCCCCACAGTGTAATGTACACATGACCACAAACACACATGCACGCACACACACACTTCTTAGGCAATCCCGAGATACCAATTCACCTAATTGCATTGCCTGATCTTATGTGCCTTGTATGTTGTTCTTTTTGATGTATATTTAAAGTTACGGTGTTATTGTTAAATCCCTGGGGCTTCAGTGTGGAGCTGAACTCTCGCCTTATATCCCTTAGGGCCGTGGGATCTACATGGATTGGTGTCTCTAAACGATCGGTGGTTAGTGCTTTTCTGTGTCGGCCCTGTGATGAGCTGGCATCCGGGGTGATGAGCTGGCATCGCCCGCCAGATGCCCCAAGTTTCTTAGGACAGCCTCCATGCTCACTGTATTGCAGTGAGCACTCCTACTCACTTTTCATTACGTTTATTTGCATTGATCTATTTGGCAGATGTTTTTTTTGAGACAGATGACAGTACGTCCACCTGTCAAGGAGCCGTCTTTGGTTCCACTAGGCTGAGCATCCGATGATTGACCAGTGACAACCGCCTGACAGTTGGGGGAATAAGAGATAGACGAATACTTCTTTCGAACATGACGTCAGAAATGCTGTACAAACGCGTATCATCCAAATAGGAGTCTTGTGCAGTATACAAAACCAAGCGTCGAGTGGAACCAGACAAACCAGCTCAGTTTCACACTCTCACGGTGTGATTTTATTCTAGTAGTCAGGATGAGCAATGGCACAAACTTTCATTTTGACTGTAGCTCACAGGAAAGCAGGTCTGGAGACCCCGGGCTGAATATTTCACTTTAACATACATTTTTTACCCGTACATGAGTGCATCATTTGAGAAAAGCCAGGAAATGGGAATTCTGACAGCTACAAGATGGTAATACGCTAATTTAAAGTTTTTTCAGTAATCCTCTTCAAATCGCCTTGAGTTCTGCAGTGCCTGGGGGTGTCCCTTCTCCTGAAATGGGCATAAGATTTTGATGACACGGGTTACTGAGGAATACGCCCCTGAGGGCTGCCCTGCAGCCTTCCCAGGCAGCACCGGCATGTGAACGGTTCTTATAAACGAGTCGCTTTTACCTGCAAAGGAGCCGGTATTAAAGTTCGCATCGTGCAGACATGACACTTTGAATCACGAAAGTAGACCTACTTGTGTATGCACCAGGTATTTTAATGTAATGTAAAGTCAGAGGCATTGTTCTAGAAGTTCATTCACCTGAAAGGGAGAAAAAGAAACCTCACAGCTGCTAAATCTCCACTTTGCAATGCTACTCGATCGCTGGCTAAAATCTGCATACAATTTTAAGTGCATGTTTTAATTTTGCGGAAGCCCTTATTCTGTATTTTTGTGCCGCGGTTCAGATCTTTCACTGCAGGATTTTCTATTAATCTCCTTTTTGTGTGGCCTTAATGATTTAATAAGGGGCTCTTCACCTTTCTCCATCGTATCAGCTGTCATATCGCGGACCCACGAAGGCCCCGGGGAGATGGGGAAGGCAGTGAACATCCAGAAGGAGGACCAGGAGAAAATGAAGGAGCTTTTTAAGATTAACCAGTTTAACCTCCTGGCCAGCGATCTGATAGCGCTTAACAGGAGCCTGCCCGACGTGAGGCTCGATGGGTGAGTATCTCCGCAAACCAAAAACGTGTCCTTTTAAGGAACAGAACACACTGCTGGAATGGAAGCTAGCCGTGCTCGCTCTGAAACAGGCCTGCCACCGTATAATTGCAGGGCAACTAAATTATTTCAACGGGGGAACCATGATGTGGTGCAGTTTCCCCAGTTTTCCCCCATGAATGCAGGCCTGCACTGGAAGGCAGAACTCTTTGCAAAGGCTTAGCGATTTAAATAAACATCAGTGTTTCCCCTACCATAATATTTTAGGGGGAGCCCGGCCCCCCCAAAGGCACCGCCCGCCCCCCCTTGAAGGTCAAGTTAATTTTATTTAATTTTATTTTCTATATAGCCCCAGATCACAACAGAAGTCATTTAAGGTTACATTTCCTATAGAACAGGTCCATACATTGTCCTTTTATTAAAGGACTAAATAGCCTTATGTTAGTTATCTTATTTACACAACAGCTTGTCATGTTCGTCTCTACACGGTCGCACGTTTACAATTCTCCTCCGCTCTCTGTATCGCGCATGGCGGAGTTCCGCCCCGATGCACGCGCACAGACACGTGCGCGCACACACAGGTGAGCACACTCCCGCCAGCGGACAGAGAGCGCGCGTCGGAAAATATGAAAAGAACCACCTGAAAAGCAGATAGATGTAGATGTTTTTTTTTATTTATTGAATTTTTTAAGTGATGTTTTGTCATATTTAAGCATATTATACAATGCATTTGAACTTTGAAAAGCTCTTATGATTATTACTATATTATAGAAAAGAGAGTGCGCTTGTTTCTCCGCCTATTATGGGATGTCCCATTATTATTTTGCATAAACCTTAAGACAAACAGTATACGACTGGTTTCAGACTGACCATGATGAACCACAACCTGGCATTGTTCCTCTGAATCTGGGTTTCTCAACCACAAAGCCATCATTTATCTTGATTGCCTCTCCAGGGAGTGATTCCTCTTCCTAGATTTTGCCGAAAGGGGGGTCTTCCTCAGTTAAAATACTTTTTTGGGGGAAACAAGGTAATTCTCGTAGGTGGCAGTCGGGTTTCGCGTTTGTGTGGCCGCCCATTACGGACAGAATCGTGTTTCCCAGCTTAAATGACATCATTGTCACATCATTAAAGAAAATGTCAGTGAGAAGAGACTCGTCACACGGCCGCTCGGGGTCGCGATGAGACACGCGCTTCACGCAAATACCCATAGGAGGCCTAGAGAGACCGTCAAGGTCAGCATCTGACTGTCGTTTTCTTCACCCCTATTTTCTGATTTCTTCAGTCTGAGATTTAAAGCTGCTTGAAAATTAAACCCGGTTTGTTTCTGTGCCTTGCAGAGTTTATCGTTAAGGCGATGGTCTTACGGAACATGCCTTTGAGTGACATACAAATGCCTCCTGTCCCCATCCTATCAGCCTCTCCTGACAGTCAGATAGCCCTCTTGCCTCTCTCCTCACATTTCAATGCCCCCTTCTCCAGCACCAATGCTCCTTCACACTTTATTTAGCAGTAGACACACTCTAGCCGTCTTCCTTCCCACCTGCATGTCGTTAGATTTGTTCCCCAGTCAATAAAGTCCCAGGAGACTGTTGCATTAATGTCATTTTCTTGCTTGCCAGGATTGTTTTTTTTTTTCCTTCTTTGGGGTTTTCCATCTGTGAATCCTTCTCTTGCCAAACAGCTTGGAAGAGACTGTGCCATCTAATTTAGGCATGCTTGCTTTTTTTGGATATGGGAATTAATTGTAGTTACTGTGTACAGATATAGTGCTACATTATTGCTACATTGTTGTGACTGTCTATAGATGTAGTGCTGCATTGTCTCTGTGAAAATATAGTGTTACATTATTGTGACTGTAGATTTAGTGCTACATTGTTGTGACTGTCTGTAGATTTAATGCTACACTGTCACTGTGTACAGATGTCATGCTTCATTGTTGTGTCTGTACAGATATTGTGCTACACTGTCATGTCTGTGCACACATATAGTGCTATGTTCTTGTGTCTTTGTACAAATGTATTGCTACATTGTTTAACTGCTGCCAAGCACACAAATGCAGAGAACACTGCTGTCTTGTATTGCTTTTCGCCAGGGTGTGGCCATTTGTTCTTCTGCTTCCCCTTGTAGTTGCCCTCGTTGATGTTTCTGTTGGAACGCTGGGTATTTTGTGTCTCACGTGTCCGTCAGCATTTAATTAAAATGCACGCCTCCCACATGGCGGGACTCCTGCTGATGTACAGAGGTGGCTTTATCAGCAGAACGACTCGGTAAGTTCTCGAGTCCTGATCAAAGCATCCACGGAAATGCATTCCCGACAGCTGCAAGACCAAGGTTCACCCAGACGACCTGCCCAACACCAGCGTCGTCATCGTGTTCCACAACGAGGCCTGGAGCACGCTGCTGCGGACGGTCCACAGCGTCATCATCCGCTCCCCCCGGCTTCTGCTGCTCGAGATCCTGCTGGTGGACGATGCCAGCGAGAGAGGTATCGCTCAGCGTGGCCGCGGTTCCGAGCTGCTCTTGCATTCAACACGATGTTTTTTAAAATCTTGAAATCAAAAAAAGATGACGGCTACCTATAGAAGCCATTTTGGACTGAAGAAAAAAAGATGCAAGACTGTTTAATCCAGGCATCAATCAGCGGAACATAGTGATTGTTATTAAAGTGTGGGACTTAACTAAGGTTTTTTCAATGCTTAGATTTCTTGCAAAAGAAGCTGGAGGACTATGTACGAGCGCTAGAAGTGCCGGTACGGATCTTGAGGATGCAGCAGCGTTCCGGGCTGATCCGGGCCAGGCTCCGGGGTGCAGCGGCTGCCCGAGGTCAGGTGATCACCTTCCTGGACGCCCACTGTGAGTGTACGATAGGATGGCTGGAACCACTGCTGACTAGGATTAAAGAGGACAGGTGGGTGAGGATTTAAACTCTGTGTCTTCAGTGTAGTTATGAATCCTCTGAGATAATCGCCTTGAGGAACTCATGCCGCAGAAACATTTTTGTATATATAGTTTGGGTAAAACCACCTAATTAAAAACAGCCTACCTTAATTAATACATTTAAAAAGACTGTTGTACTGTTATTTCAAAAAGATGTTTTAAATTCTTCTTACATTATAACTGAGGATAAAAACGTTTATACGTTTTAGGTTATTAGCATTACTATAATACTATTTAACTTCTTTTAAATTTGTACAATGGCAGGGTTTTTCTAATGCAAATGTTACTTTTCTTTAATTATCAGCTTTTGAAGGAATTTTTGGCACTAGGTGCTTACATTAATATCCCTGTTCCTCTCGATGGCACTGTTGCAGAGGATGTAATACCTACCATGAAATGATACTTCGCCACGTTGCTTGTGTTTTGATAGGCTGGAGTGGTTTTGTCCTCAAACCCCAGGCCTCATGGCTTCTTTGTCTTCCCCTCAACCGCAGAAAAGCAGTGGTATGCCCCATTATCGATGTGATCAGTGACGACACCTTCGAGTACATGGCGGGTTCCGACATGACCTATGGGGGATTCAACTGGAAGCTGAATTTCCGTTGGTACCCCGTGCCTCAGAGGGAGATGGACAGGCGGAAAGGGGACCGAACACTTCCTGTCAGGCAAGTAATTGGGGGCGGTGCTTAACTAAGTGGGTTAAGGCCAGTTCATACTTCACTTTTCCGTTTTCGTTTGTGGACGTAAATTTCGTCATCAGGGGCTGGTTGTGGATGACTGCGGTCGATGTGCGTGTAGCCCAGGTTTTTATGGCTACGTTCACACTGCCAGCCACATCGTTCAATTCCGATTTTTTGCTCAGATCGGGTTTGTCTATCTTGACGGTTCACATTCATAACTACAAGTGACCTGTATCTGACTGTAATGTGAACGCATCGGTCCTCCGAAACGTCACGCATGCGCACATTGATACGTTTTTACACGGGTCAACTGCGTCACCAACAACATAAAACGTCATATCTGTGGGGCGACTCATGGCATTAAAAATGGAGGCGTTAGTAGCTCCCGCATGTATCGCACTTTGCTCTGGAGGACGACACTGAATCAGCTGTACATGAGCAGGTCGAAAAGGAGAAAAAACGTCAGGCGGCTAGCTTTTTCTGTTTTCGCAGTTAATGCTGGAACTGCTGCACCAAGAGATTTGTGGGTACGAGAAAGGAGCCAGCAATTGTGGGACCGTGATGTAGATGGATATACAGATGAGCAGTTTGTAGAGAACTTAAGAATGTCGAGGGCTACATTTGAGTACCTCTGTCAGCGCATGCGTATAAGCAAAAAGCCGCATGAATTCCGATCTGAGCGTCCACATTCAGGTCGCATGTATGAGATTTAGTACCACATATGAAAGTGACACAAATCTGATTTGAAAAGATCAGATTTGCGTGTCCACACAGCCCTGAAAAGATCAGATCTGTGTCACATTAAGGCAAAAAGATCCGATTTGAGTCACTTCAGCATGGCAGTGTGAACGTAGCCTATGTCTAGCGGCAACCTCACCCATCTGCACGCGTACAAGATAACTGATTAAGTATTTCCAGTAGGTGGCAGCGTGGAGTTTCACAGATCAGCGGTCAATGAGTAGAGGAAGAATAGTTGTTGTTGTTGTGGTTATGGTGAGCAGCTGCATGAGGTCGGCTGGAAATACCAGCATATCTAATGTTTCATATTGTCTAGACATCATACCAAGTATTTAAAAAAGCTATTCTATTCCGGCATTTTGAAAACTTGCCCATAAAATTCGCCAAGTATGTGGGCGCGGTTGGGGTCCCAGCTAATTTTGTCACAAGGATTTCAAAATACTGTGGAATGCCTTATTACCGTAATACCGGCCAAGTCTTGACTAATAACTTTAAAAGGCTCATCTTAGTTTACCCGTTTCACTACACTGCTTGTATTTGTGTTTGTACGTCTGCCCTCTGCTGGTCTGATGGAATATCACTGCTATATGCATGCGCCGACCGCCACCATCCGCGTCCGCAGCCAGATGTAGTATCAACACAAGCTGTCGCTTGTTCCGCCGTCCCCAGCCCGAAAGCACGCGGAAGCGCAGGCGGAAAAGCGAAGCATGAACTAGGCTTTGCAATGCACTGCTTGTGATCAGAAGGTTGCCAGTTTGAATCTCACGGTAGGTAGAATGATTTCACCGTCAGGCCAGGAGTAAGATCCTTAACCCTCACTGGCACCAGGAACTGTCTGACCCGGCTTTTCTCCCTTTCGATAATTGTGTCTGTCAACTTCACTGTATAATAATAATTGCTGGTATGGTACAGGCTGTGAGGCAAACTCTCCAAGACACATTCAACCCAACAAGTGCAGTTACTCAGTTACTGTTGTTTCTTTACCGACTTATAGTTTCATTCACACTTAGGTACTGACTGGAGAACTTTTTCTATGTCAGCATGTAATATCTTGGTTGGTTGTCCTTGCTGGAAGACCATTGCATATTGTCTGTTTTGGGTAAAATCTGTGTAATCTAACAGATGCTGTTCTTGGAAGTTTTAAGTGTTCTTGGTTACCATATTTTTTTCCTGAGCTATCTGATATGTTTGTGGTCTGTTTTGGACCTTGCTTATTGAGGTACTGGTGGGCTGATGCCTTCGCTGTCATAGTAATTGTGATAAAAAATTGTCAGCTAGTTAACAAAATATCACTTTGCATTTTTCGGAAGCTATATCTATGAAATAGTGATGGTATCATTTGGAAACCAGATGGAAAGGATTTTGTAGCTATAATATTTTATTACAAAGCACATGAAAGCACAGCAAGGTTGTTTAAACACCTTTAACAGAATTAATAATATTTCTCAGGATAGTTTCTCAGGAGAGATTTTTTATATGACGCATCAGAGCAAAGTGTGGAATTTCTTTTTTCTAGAACATATTTTGCGTATGAGACACTGAGATCATGGATTCTGTCATGCCTTTTGAGAATATTTAAATGTGAAATAGAACAGAAAATCAGATACGGCTTTGTCACCGGTTTGTTGCCGTGGTGATATGGATCCCTTTGCACTCGATCTCTCTCTGATTGATGTTTTTGTCTTCTGCAGAACTCCCACCATGGCGGGGGGTCTGTTTTCTATCGACAGAACATATTTTGAAGAAATTGGAACATATGACCCAGGGATGGATATCTGGGGCGGAGAGAACCTGGAACTGTCCTTCAGGGTAAATCCGTCATTCTTTATGTGTCCGAATGGATCGCACAGCGTTGTCTACAGGATATAATCTCTGGCTCTACATGCAACCTGACATCATGTCAAGACAAATGTGTTTACATGTGTAGAGGATTTGTTGTGCTTTTTGGAGGGAAAAACACACACACACACACACACACACACACACACATACAAGGCGATGGTAATATTATGCTGACATCTTATGCCGTTTTGGGGTTAGGGGTTTTTAATTGGTACCTGAATAAAAGTGAAAGGCAAGTGCCCACAAACCAGAAATCGTGTTATTAATTACTGTGTTTATATCCATGTAGCTTGTAATGTCTGCGTACATGTGTGGGTGCGGTTTACTGAAATAATACTGTGCGCTGACGGGGAATGGGAGATGAGGGAAAAGCAATAAACGTTCGACCGTGGGCCCGATCTCAGCGCCTGTGCTGGCCGCCCGCAGATCTGGCAGTGCGGTGGCTCTCTGGAGATCGTCACCTGCTCTCACGTCGGCCATGTGTTCCGGAAGGCCACCCCGTACAGCTTTCCCGGGGGCACTGGCCAAGTCATCAACAAGAACAACAGGCGCCTGGCCGAGGTCTGGATGGATGAATTCAAAGACTTCTTCTATATCATATCACCAGGTGTGGTGTCCCGCCGCTCAGCGTTTGTTTACCGCTCACCTGTCCGTCGTCGCTTCCCCAATGAGCTCCTTTCAGTAATGGTGGGCCGGCCTGTATCAATCCTGGTGGCTTTGTAAATAAGCCACGCAATTAGCCTGTATTGTTGGGGATTTCAAGGTCGGATCGCTTTGTTTTATTTCTGTCCCAAATCTCATAGATGGACATAATAGGTATATGATATTAATAGTCTGTAAAAAGCCAGAAGATGAGCGAGGCAGGGAAAGGAACTTCATGGGATTCCTGTCTTGCTGGCTAACCGCTCTTTAGCATGTTCGTCTTGTGTAGGTCAGACATTTGGGTTTGAAGGTTATCAGTATAGCGTTGGAGCATCTCTTCAGCCAGTGGCCAGTGATATTCTGCAGGTTACCATGTAGCACCGTTAAATAATGTAGCACAGTGTTCCGGGTTTGAGATTCTGGCCTTTATAGTTCATGTTCAGTTGATGTTGACCAAACCTGGTGTGAGGGTGACAAAACAAACGCCCAATACTTATACAAGGCGTTAGGCAGGATATTTAAAATACCGAGGTCAAAAGTGTTATCCCTTACACGGTGTGTCCTGTAATGGATCGTGGTTATTATGGTTGCAGAAAAAATGCTGAGGACTTGACCTTGGTGTCCTCAGTGGTAGGCATGGGCAGTCATACAACGAATGTAAGCATGTATATCAGAATCAGCAGCATTCTGTGAGGCTAAACCTAACATTTGCTCGGCTAAGCTAGGCTAAAATAATAGCTCCTTCGTTTAGGTATAATGACTGGGGGACATGCGTTCCTCCGCATTCAGTTATGTGAGAAGAGGCCCCGAATCTGAGTGCTTTGCCACAGAACATTCTTTTGTTATTCTTTTATTCCTTTATTTATTCACAATTAAAAGAAGATCAGCATCCTGCAGTTTGTGAGAACCTTCCGGAATGTGCACATCAATCAGCGGAAAGTTCGACATTTCCCCAGGACCCCCACATCTGCTGTGTGTCGCCACACTGATTTTGTGTTTCTTTACATAATTACTTACCTTGTTAAATAATTAAGCTTTTGCATGAGATTTTGTTCCTTTTATTGGATTAGAACCAAATGAATCTCTTTGGTAGAAACAATTTCATTTAACCTTTTGGTCGTAATTATAATTTTTTACCTAATTGACACACTCTGTGTCAAATGCCGGCTGATTATAAGCAGCCTGCTGTAATTGTATATACTGACCATTAGAACTTGTATGAATATAATGTGAATATAATATACTATGACACCTATAAATATAATACAAAGCAAATGAAGCAGCCCCTTCTGCCTTCAGTAAGCTTTCATGATGCTTAGATAAGCTTATTATCAGCCATCCGTGACTTAATGCCTACGTTCCTGTGTCTGCTAGAAACTCGTCAGTTATTTAAAACTGAAAACATACCTGAATGAATAAATGCTGCATTTACATGGCGCTTTTCAAGACACACAAAGCACTTTACAGAGCCAATCGCCACTGTGTATCACCAACCTGGACGACACGTCTGCAGGTGCTTTTGTTTATGCTGCTGATTGTCCTTCGTTAATTTCACCCGGGAGCTGATTACCTCGCTTTGTCTTAAATTTCTTAGCCCACAGAAGATCTGGCAGCATAATATTTTACAGTATTTTGATTGGGCTAATTAGCTTGGGGAGAACTGTGTTATTTTTTTATGGAATTAATAACGATGGGAGCCACTGTGATGAGAGCCCATTGGCTATATTTTTCTGTTGTTGGTTAGGAATATAAAAAGGGTTCTAACTCACCTTTTTACTTGCTTAATTCCAGAAATTCACCATTTCCTGAAAATGCAGTTTTTTTTGTGTTTGCATATTGTGCTTTACAATTTTGTGGGTTTTTTTTTCTAGATTTTATTATTTTGTGTTTTGTTTTGTTTTGTGATTATAGGGCACTGGTCAGTATGTTTGTAAGTAATATATCGTTATTTGAAATGTGGTCTGAAATGTGGAGAGGGCCCTCTGGTGTTCACTGTTGGTAATGCACCCATATGATACATTCTGCAGGGCTATAGAGTACCTCAGCTCCTTAGAAAATCAGGTGCAAGTGTGAACCGATGTCACCAGTCACCTCTACGTTCTGTCAGGGGCACTGAGCTGAAAGAGCTGAAGTCAAAATGCTTACTGGGAAGTCTAGCGATGGGTTATGTGGGGCAAACATTTCAGTTTGTGTGCAACAGCTGTTTAATTCCTTGTGACCTCCTGTGTGGGTCTATTGGCCTGCAAGCTGCTGTAATAGCTTTCTGAAGTTGACATGAAAGCCGGTGTGATTTATTATTGGTGTGCTGACGCAGACTGAGTTCTTTTTTTAAAAAAATTTTAGGCAGATTGCAGGTGTTGTCGGGGTAACCGTGTAGTTCTTTCTGACTCTTTCATTGGACATTTAACTGCTAACTTAATAATATATTTCTACCACAGGCTGATAAGAACGTGGCCAATTTTCAGATAAAATGATGTTTTAGTAACAAAGCATTCAGCAGGTTAAGAGGGTCTAAGGTTGTAGAATTTGAGATCAGTTCCTTTGAACAATGTTCAGCAATCTAGCATTCTACTCCTTACTGCCCTCAGGGCGTGACGACTTTCTCCAGTTATCAAAGAACAGCTGCCTCTCTGAGTGAACCGTCCTCTCCGTAGGTGTGATGAAGGTGGAGTATGGAGACGTGTCATCACGCAAGACACTTCGGGAAGCCCTACAGTGTAAATCCTTCTCCTGGTACCTGGAGAACATCTACCCTGACTCCCAGATCCCAAGAAGATACTTCTCACTTGGTGAAGTATGAAACCTTTTGCAAAGCTACTGCTTCAAGGAACCAGTGTGAGGGTTGAGTTGCCTGAATATTAAGAAGATAAAAATATTATTATTCTATATATTGTTCTATATGTATATATATATAGAATGTATGTATATAGAATTCTATATAGTATATATAGAATCTCAATAAAATTGCGAGCTTGAGAAATAGATATACACAAATGAATAGATAATGTAATAATACGTGTCATAATATTTTTCCCGCCAAATTGTGCCATTGTGTTTTTGACCTTCAGTTCTCTTTACCCAGAAGGCCTTGGGGTTATATAAAGTACAGCTCTTTCCATGCCTTTCAAAGTTTTTTCCGACTTTCAGCTGGTCTCTGCCGCAGCATGAACCTGTTTATACAGAAGACAGATTAAATCAGTTTTGACTGACAGTTGGGACACCCTCGAATGAATCCTTCTCAAAGTCAGTAATGTACAACTAACTAGATGTCAGGAATTCACGGCACCAAAGTCATCTGTTCATTATGACCCACAGTTAGAAATGCGGTCTGGAACGGCTTACCTGTTTGAAGTAACTAATAACTGGGCGAAGTTAGTCAAGGACATAAAATGTTAATGCTTGATGTTTCACTGGTAAAATAATCAATGTAACCTGAGATTAGGTCACTGACTGGAGAACCAGACTGCCTGGGTATTTAATGTACTGTGAACACCCCGAAATTACAGATTTTTCAGGCCATGATTTTCAAAGCCTGAGGATTTTTTTCTGGAACATAATGTACTAAATCTTGTCTGTTGAAGTACAGTGCTTGTTTCTGGCTCGTGGTTTGACAGTGGTGCCTATTCAAGGTGTTTGTTTGGCAGGATGTGTTAAATATCCTAAATCACGGCCAGTCGTGTCTGATTATGATTCTTCATCTTCTTTTTCTTACAAATATGATTATTTATTTTGGTATTATTCAGTTAGAGTCCACCTTGTGATCACATAATTGGTTCACATCTGTTTCCCGCCCAGTTTTTAGAAGTATCTCTTCCATATTAATGCCAAAAATCGTGGTGTTTGCGAGAATTGCGGCAGTCCTCGTGAGACCCGGCCTCTGATTTATCCTGTCGTTTGCATTGCTAAGCAGCCGTTAATGAAGTGTTTTCAGCCACCGGGTGTCACCGTCGATATCAGAAATGTTACCTTAGAGTAGAAAGCGCTCAATTATAATTTTACAACTGCGCACACACGTCGAGTAACGGTAACGTATAGAGCCCCCAGGGTCTGGTGTAATAACGAGAAGCACGCTGCTCTTGTGAAGCTCGCTGCTTAATATGCTAAATATAGATGATTTGCATTCCTTTTCCGTGTCACAAGACTCGGAGCTGAGAGCGACGTGTACCGTGATTTTGATGGCTCGATGTTCTCCACCAGGGAGTGGGCGCTAGGCTAACAGCGTAGCTGAGCCTGATTTGAAGGATTACTTCAGTGTAACAGGATAAGGATGGTGAAGATGCCTCCGCAGTCCTCTCATAAATGTGCAGGTTCTTCCTGCTCATTTCACGTGGCCCAGCCATTGCTGTAACGTGGATACATTTTAATCATATTCGGCGGAGGAATTTCAATGGGAGATTATAGGTTTTAACAGGTGTTCACATCACGTGGCTTGTGTTTTTGTGCCGGCGAGCATTTCTGATAATATCAGCAATGGCCGTCTGGTCAGCATATTTTTCCAGTGCTGTTTCCCTGCTGTCCCCAGATTCGAAATGTGGAAACCAACCAGTGTATCGACAACATGGGAAGGAAGGAGAACGAGAAGGTCGGCTTTTTCAACTGCCACGGGATGGGAGGGAACCAGGTAAGGAATGCCGCCTTCGCCACCATCGTGTACCAACAGCGTTTTGGTGTCCTGATTTAAGACAGCGCCCCCTACAGGTGTTTTCCTACACTGCGGATAAAGAGATCCGGACGGACGACCTTTGCCTGGATGTGTCGCGGCTAAACGGTCCCGTCATCATGCTCAAGTGCCACCACATGAAGGGGAACCAGATGTTTGAATATGACGCAGAGGTAGGGGGAGGGTGCCGTCTTCCTCTGCGGCTCTTAGCAATGGAAACGTGCCATCCGTCCATCTACGTTTCCGCATCTACACTTTCCATGATTCATCTGAACTCGATGCTAAGTAACACCTCCTTTCGCAAATCTGACCCAGACAAGTAGTTCCTTTGCTAGAAACATTTGCCTGTAGCTAAGAACTCTGTCGGTCGAAATTCAGCAAATATCCAAAGCTCGCTGAGTCTGTGGGATACGTTTTTTGAGGAAGTTTCTGTGAGTTTTAAAATTTCACGAAAGTTCTTTGTTGGATTACATGAGGACTGAGTGAGTTTTGCTTCCCAGTGCTATAGCATACGATGAGGAAGCCTGACTTTAGGTCATTGGCGACCTCATTTCAAAAACAAGTACTATCTATGTGATTTTTGGAATTACCAGTGGAATTTAGTGGAATAACTGGTATGTAAGCCACTATCACATGGTTTTCTTGTGTGGTCTTGACACTAGCTAGTGGAATCTTGGTCTGAAGCCTGTTAACAATATGCAATCTGGTGAAGGTCCTTTACTGAGAAATTCGATGGAGTTCATTGGGTTTGGAATGGCGCTATGGCTATTCATAAAACATGGGAGAAGTAAGTCAGTTAATCAGCGAAATACTTGACATATGCCACCTTTTCTTAGAAGCAATGTTCTGAGTGACACCACTGCTGGCTTTTGTTCCATTAATATTTAATGTGGTTTTGATTTAACATCATGCCAGATGTCTGTTTATTTGATTAGCAGGCAGTGCAGTGCTGAATGATCCATACAGTGCTTCGTCTGCCTTCCTTGTCTAGAATTGTGGGTAATTTCCTAGTTTGGCGGCCCAGCGACCTTCTTTGTAAGGGCAAAGTGCAATATGAGGTGTGTGTTGTACCATGTGCCGTACGGGTGCTTCCACATGCGCGTCCGGTGACCACACCGGCTCCGGAGCCCCGCCCTTTGCTTTCGTCAACAGCTGTCCGTGTCCGCCGTGCGGAAAGTCACCCTGGCCCCCCTGACCGCCTGTAAGCTGGAGGACGGCAGGTGGCGACGCTCTATTGGCTTCCACAACCCCTGCAGGTCCTCAGCAGGTCTCAGGAGCTGAAGGAACACCAGGCAGGAGGTCCACAGGAAGGCTCTTTCACAACCCTTGTTATTAATTTTAGTAGCGCTTCGTGCGTCGCCACAGGTGGAATACCCTGCGGTGATACGTGGGCACTCAGTCCAGATTCAAGTGCGGGATACAGGGAGGGGGAAGGTTAGGATGGTTCCAAAGGGTTATTGTGTAAGAACCCAACATAATACAAGCTAGCTATATGCAATCAATTGGCTTGAGCCAAAGTCTGCTGGTGGCAGAGATCTGATCAGGACTTAGAGTTTGAGGAATGGAGGCAAAGGAGTTAAAGGTCAGGGCTGCCCACTCTGCACAGTCGTGGTTGTGATAGTGAGTGAGAGAGCTGTAGACCTTAACCAGCCCATGTGTCTCTCTTACTTACTCCGTACCACTTTCAGTTCATTTAAATTGTCAGACATGATTTTATTCAAAAAAAAAAAATTGATTAGGAGTTAAGGGCCTCGTTCAGGGACCCAGGGACTCAATCACTCTGCTGACTGATGATTTTGGGATTTGAACTGACAATATTCCGATCACAGGTACAGCACCTAACCTGCTAAGCCACAGTCCATCAATTCCTTAGTTTTGTCTTGTTGGACATTATCTGGGGGTCAGCGTTATATGGCTGCTCGGGAGGTGAAATATATTTAATACCATTTACTTTTTAAAATTAATATATTCACTTGGAATGCGGTCCTTTGCGGTTCTCAAAGTATGATACCAACTGGACCTTTATTGAGCATCAGGGTCAAATCAAATATCACTTGATATTCAAATTCCTGTCTAAATATTCCATTATAATATGAAGACTTCCATCCAAAGTATGCTGCCTTTACACTCGAATAAGCCCTGAGGAAGCCGTTTCATTTCTGAGCCGATAATTTATGTGCGGACGGAAACGTGCCTGCTTTTGTTCGTGGGCTCTTTTGAGGCTCGCCAGCGCTGTGAAAAAGGTGGTCCTCTGTTCACGAAAGCAGGCCTCGCTTTTGAGAACGTCTGCGGCGCCCAGGACATCTGCGTCCCGTACACCGCGGATGGGCTCTTCATCCACCACGCACTGAATTTCAATGACCGGTCTCTGTCTGTACCTTTGTCCGCTCGCACCCTGCCCGTCCATGCATGGCTGCCTGAGCCGTTTCTACGCCCTTGTTTGTATGTGTGTGTGTATCTGTCTAGCTGTCATTCTGAGCCTGTCAGTCTGACTAACTGTTTTCCTTTCATCCCTGTCGATACCGAACTGCTCGCTTGTCCATCGCCTGATCTGTCAGCCACTCTTTCGTCTTTTCGCATTTTATTTTCTGCAGAGTGAACTGACATGCTCAGAATCAGTCCGGCGCAGTAAGTACTTTGTGTTCTGTCTGATCCGGCCAGGACGTAGGGTTGACGAGGGATTCTTGCCCATTTTTTTTTGGCTGCAGGTCAGGCAAAGTGCACAGTTCTGACCCCCTGCTAAGCTCACTATTACTAAGGTTCCAGATTCATTACTATGGCCAAAGATGCATCACATAAGGAAGATTAGGACAGCAATGAAAGACCTGCCAACACTGTAACATCCATCCTCCTCCTACCTTCCATAATCGCTTATCCAATAGAGACACACGGCGGGCTTGGAACAGATACTAGGATGCACAGGGCAGGGAATACTTTGGACAGTATGCCAGTCCATTGTCATACAAACACTCTGGGGACAGTTTAGACATGCTGAATCACCTAAATTGCGTGTTTAGGGCTGTGGGCGGAGACCCACATTACATTAAATACCCTGAGTAACACACAGACGTCACACATACAGATTCTGAGGAGGATTTCAAACTCCCAGCCTTGCAGGTTTGAACTGACCACTGAACCACTGTTCTCTCCACATTATAACATATCATTACTATATGATGTTACCTGTTCCTCTTCAATAGCTCAGTTGGTAGAGTGGAGCCCTGTAGAGGCAGCGCTGATATTCTTAGTTCATTGGTTTGAATCTGGCTCAACGGAGGGTGAGCATTTTAGGAGGTAGAATGTAGCTCAGCTGAATGGACTCTGTAGCCATGAGCAGAAGGTCTCTGCTTTCAGTCCTGGGACCGGCACTTAAGCAAGGCCCTTAACCCCCAACTCCAGGGACGTGACACCCCCAAACTCACCAGTATGTATGTGTCATGGAGAGCAAGGTGACATAGGCAAAAAAACAATTTCCAGCTGTAGATCGATATCATATCACTGTTCTATTATTATATTTGTATTATTCTTTAACAGGGTGGTGAACCCATGGCTCCTCTCTTTGCCGGCTTCTCTGCTCACTGTGAGCATTTTATTCTTGGTCATCAGATTTTTTTACTGTTTAAAATATATTTCGGATAAGTAAAAATGCATTTGAATATTTGACAGTATCGCCAATAAAGCTGCCAATATTTTTAATTAAAAAAATAATTGTCGTCATATGACTGATAGAAAAGTCACGCGCATACGCAGATGTTTGTTAGCCAAGCTAACATGACTGAATCACCGTGGCTGAGTTAAAGCTCAGCGCAAATATGAAGAGCACAGGACGTTCTTACCTGAATGGGAGGAATTGTACTTTTTTGTGGGACGAAATGGGAAAACCATCTGTTTGTTATGCCAGACTTTGCTTTCAGGTTTGAAAGCTTCGAACCTGCAGCTCCGTTTTACGTCACGCCATGCTAACATGGTGCAGGAGTTTCCCAAAGGCACTGAACTTCGCAAGCACAAAGTAGTTATGTTGAAACGTCAGTCCCACTGAGTAAATGGAAGTTGCGATAGTGCAGGTTTTTTTTTTTAGCTGGATTTAATGCTGGACTGATTGCCCACCCATGAGCTGTAATGCATATAATAATGTCTAAAACTGTGTGAAGTTCTATACTCCACACAATGTGGTGTCCAAGGAGGTCCCTTGATTTTCTTTAGATGTTTTTTCCCTCGACTGTGGTTCCGCCCGGCCCACGGGTATCTGTGAGATGTGGCGTCACCTGAAACATGCGGCTCAATCTCGCATCTTCGTTTGGTTAAAGGATAAACGGTCCGCACCCGGGACCTGCTGTTCGGAGTCATCTTTGTTTAATTAGCAGCTCTCAGCCGTGTGTGCACACAATAAATACCTCATAAGACACTCACTGTGAGGCTTTTAATGAAGGTGTGCTGCCATCCCAGGCACATAAAAATAACAACAAACCTGCAATGCAATATTTCTGTTAAACAAGAATTAATTATTTTGTCCTCCTTACTGTAAATTCTCTATTTTGTACTGCAATGTACAAGGATGCTCCCATGCAGAGACATCGTGAAAAATAATATTTAAATGTTCTTATTGCCAGCGGTGTGTTTTATTGGCGTTTATCTTCTTTTCATCTTGGAAGAGAAATGTTTTCTCCTTCAAATGTAGGTTATGAAAATAGATGTAGTCCTGTATATTTAAAATAAAATGCCATCTGTATGTATGTAAAGTTTTTTACATAGATCAAATTGCTCCTCTGCAATGTCTTCTGAAAGGAAGTTAAATTATTTCATTTTAGTTTGGAGCTGGATTCTGCAGTTCTATGTGTGGAGATTTATGCCACGTTTTGCCCTAATGAACAGCTTCCAGTGAACGAGACAGGGACTCCGTTGAATCCCGGAACCCCACCAAAGATCGCGATCGTAGCGTCTCATTTATGAAAAATGTTCATGCGTTCTTACAGAAGAGGAAGCATTCTTGCAAAAAACTGTCAGATTTATAAAAACCTTGTGTAAACGCATCATGCATGATGTAGAGCCCACTCGTCACAGAAACATTTGCACAGATGTGCACTTAAGAGACTGCTCCACTCCCACTGACTGATGACCCAGCAGTAGCAATGCAAATTAAGTTAGCCACATATACATATATATATATATATATATATATATACATACATAGCTACAGTATATGTGTGTATATATATAGATATATAGATATAGGACTGATTGGCTGAAGAGTCCTCATACCTGGGTTTGAGCAGCCGACCCAAAGGTCACCCCAAAAACCTGCATACACACCAGCCCTTTGAGGATAAGATTGCCCTCCCCTGATCTGTAATGCATATAATAATGTCTAAAACTGTGTGAAGTTCTGTACTCCACACAATGTGGTGTCCAACTGAACTGTTCTAGTTCGTCCCAAAGGATGGGGTTGAAGTCAGGGCTCTGTGTGGGTCAGTCAAGTTCTTCTACACCAGACTCACCCAACCATGTCTCTATGGACCTTGCTTTGTGCACTGGGATGCTGGAACAGAAAAATACCTTCCCCAAACAGTTCCCACAGAGCTGAAAGCATAGAATTGTCCAAAATGTCTTGGCATGCTGAAACATTAAGAGTTCCCTTCACTGGAACTAAGGGGTCTAGCTCAACCCCTATAAAACAACCCCATACCATTATCCCTCCTCCACCAAACTTTACAGTTGGCACAATGCAGTCAGACAGGTAACGTTCTCCTGGCATCTGCTAAACCCAGACTCGTCTATCAGACTGTCAGACAGAGAAGTGTGATTCGTCACTCCACAAACCACATTTCCACTGCTCCAGAGTCCAGTGGCACCGTGCTTTACACCACTCCATCTGATGTTTGGCATTGCGCTCGGTGATGTGAGGCTTGCATGCAGCTGCTCGGCTGTGGAAGCCCATTCCATGAAGCTCTTGGCGCACAGTTTTGTGCTGGGGTTAATGCCAGAGGAAGTGGGACTCTGCAGATATTGAGTCAACAGAGTGTTGGCGATTTATGTTCATTATGCATCTCAGCAATCGGCAACTCTGCTCTGTTACTTTATGTGGTCTTCCACTTTGTGGCTGAGTTTCTGTTGTTCCTAAATGCTTCCACTTTACAATACAGGGTTGGCCAGAAGTAGGTAGTTTTTATTTTATGAAGTAAAGGTTCTGATTTACAAAGTAATTATTATTTTATTATTGCTTGAATTTGTAATGGTAGTGATGTAGTCAAGACCACCTAAACCGAGACCAAGACATTACCGAGACCAGAGTGTATCAAGACCAAGACAAGACCAAGACCAAGGCAGAGCTAGACCAAGTCAAGATCAAAAACAGACTAATGTTTGAGTCTACATAACACAGCACGCTATAAAATGTGGAGCATAGGCACCATATTGAGGCTAGGCAGTATGGCCTAAAATTTGTGTCACAGTATAATTTGAACCATGGACATTTTGCTTAAAATTTCAATACAAATACTTCTGTACAAATGTAAAAAAAAAAAATTAAATAAGATGCATCTTACTGGTTGCATTTGAACTTGAATCTGAAGCAGAACGTTTTGCACCCAATCACAGTACTATATTAACAAACAGATGAATATTAAGCCGTTGTGATATATACTGAGACATTTTGATGAGTGGTCAAGTCCTCTATGTCCTACAAGACCGAGTCAAAATTAAGTTGATTCCCGAGCGAGATCAAGACCGCAAAAAAGTGGTCTCAAGACCTCTGAATGTAACCACTGAATGAATGGGTCTGAATGTAACACGTGAATTCAGCGATTAAGAGGTGGTCCCAATACTTTTGTCCGTATGGCTCCATGTGTGTGGGGTTTGCATGATCTCCTCTGGGTACTGTGCTGAGGTTAGTTGAAGTTACCGAACTTCTCCAGGTGTGAAGGGTGTTTGAGTTGTTCCCTGCCTTCTGCTTGCAGCCTTTGGGAGAGGCTCAATAGGACAAGCAGTTACAGAAAATGGATGGATGGATGGATACTACGACCCACATTGCTGTTGCCATCACAGATGACTTGCATGTTGATGGAATGAAAAGCTGCTTCATTTATTGATGGTACTGATATTGCAGTGTGCTTGCAGTTAGTACCACCGACAGCATGAGGAAACCTGAACATTACAACAAATTGCATTGTAATGTTTGCCTGTACATCCACAGTAGGGAAGCTCCATATACTGTCTTGACAGTTGTTTGATAACAGCCACAACTTGAGGAATAATGGGCTGGGATATCCCAGATCTGTCCACCAGTTCCCGTTGGAATGTTCCTGTCGCCAAAAACTCCAAGTGTTGCCAGTACTTAAGGATGGACAGGAACAGCGTGATTTCATAATACAGGTCGCTCAAGAGCTGGGGCCACTTCATCACACATTTCCATCAGAATAATTCTTGGCAGTCTAGAATGGCTGCTAAGCCACAAATCATCATTGGAAAATAATTCTTGTGATCTTCAAATACTCGCTCTCTGAGTATTTGGCCCCACGCAACGTCCTCTAACAAAACTAAATATGCCATGACAATGCTGTATGTCACATACTTACACACGTGTTTTTACACCTATTAAATGTGGTGCACACGTGTTGATGCCTGTAGTTGCTTTGACTTTTCAGTACACGCACCTCTAACTTAGATTCTACGCAATAAAAATATTGGTATATCTAAATAAAATATAGAACCTATGCTAAGTATTAGTGATATATCAGATATTATATAAATGCTTCTGTATTTAACACACATTCCACCAAGCACTAAAACTACCTCTAGATGCAACTTAGATGCACATTTCTATTTGAACTCTAGATGTCGCTTTTTCTGTTTCCTCCAAAACATTTGTATGACTGCTGGATAAATCCAAAAACCTTTGTATAAATGTGCGTACAGATGTTCTGCATCTATTCTGCTCGTACGAAACTTTTACAAAGGAGCCCCCTGGTTCCTGACAAACGTTCCTGCAATCAGAAAATGCCTCCGAAATACTCAACTTAAGCAAATGCGACAGAGTTTAAATAATGGTTTTCCAACATCAGAACTAAGTACATCCATCCAGCTAATGTGCTGTTTTTCATGATGTGTGTGTATAGTTTCTCTCCCCTGTCTCACATTTTCATTCATACATATTAAGTGGCCACCTTGAGAATACCAGTAAGGCAAATATTTTTACGTTATTTAGCATTTTATGTACTCGTCAATTTCCCTGGAGTACTTGCGTTGCTATAAAAAATATTAATCTTACTCAGCAGAATTGGATAGCTCAGGTCCAGAAAGTCAAAATCCAGGCCAAGATATTGTTTCAACCAACCAGTTGAGTAATCTGTGACTCTTTGTACTCGACAGGTTGGTTGAAACAAAATCTTGGTCTGGATTTTTACTTTCTGGACCTGAACTAACTACCTCTGTTACTTGGAGATTATTAGTTATGTGTATGTCATTGGCAAGAACTGTCCGATTCTATTCCTTCAAAACTTCTGAAGGAATTCGTCTTTGGCCAATGAAAGTCCTTTCCTAAACCTGCTTAGATGTCGATTAGCATGACTATGCTTCTGTGGTAGCTTGGTGGTGAGATGTGGAGCTATACACTGGTACGCTTTTGGATAATCAAGGCTATAACCTTGCATAAACACCTTTACATGATCCACAAGTTGATTTTAGCTGGTGCCTATTGGAACTTGGCTCATTGTCCTGTGTGGTGCTGTTTGTGTCCTTAGCGGCTGACCCTCCTCCATGTGAACAGTAACCAGTGCTTGGACATGCCATCAGAAGAGGACAAGATGGCTCCCACCCTACGGGACTGCACGGGCAGCCGCTCTCAGCAGTGGCTGCTCAGGAACATGACCCTCAGTGTCTGATCCTCCTCCCTGCTCCTCGCCTCCGTCGTTCCGGCCCTCTCCCAGCTGTGCTGGTCTGCACGGGTGTCCCTCTGACCCACATCTGCATCTCATGGACCTCCTCAAGGCTTCAAGGAAGTGCCATCGGATGGGGCCCTCCCACCAAGTCGGTGATAGGCGTGGCTGGTCAGAGTGGTCCAATGACGAGGTGGTGGGCGGAGCCATGAGCCAGGTGCCGTTGCCTCCTTGGACTCAGGTGTTTCCCATCTCCTCCTGCATAACCATGTGGTGGAGGTAGCGTTTGGAAACAGTTAAATAAAAACAGCATGTCTTTATGTACTTGTTCAGAACATTTACTTTTGTCCATCTTCGGTATGTGCAGCAAGATCATGAACGTAGTTGAATAGATTTTTTTTGTGTCCTTAGTTGCTTGATTCATACTTTCAGGCTTTAAACCAGAGGGTTTCAACTATTCATAACCTAGAGACATGAAAACAGCAGAGCTGCGAACCCCTGCTCTACGGACTGACAGGGTATCCCGTCCTCAACTTGAAAACCCTTGATTTAAACCACATTCCACATTTACATCAGGGACAGTATTACCTGGGTCTTTTAATATCACAAAAGTTTGTTGGTTATTTTATTTGATGTGCGTGCAAGTTATCATTTTATGCACATATATGTGTCGAATGTATGATGTTATCGATCATGACGCACATTTGGACTCGGACTGTTATTGAAAGAAGTCCTGACATTTTTATTGCGTCGTTGGCGACCACAGTCAATATGAATCCTATGATCCGCTGCGGATTTGCAATGTTTCTGTTGAGGAAGCAAAAATGTCACATGCCTTAAAATATTATTGTGGCATGCATGTATAAAATAAGTGATTTTTTTTTTTGCAATAAAAATAATACTGGAAAAGCTAGTTTGTAAAGCTTCTGTTAGATCCAGTGCATGGCCATCAAACTGCAGTATGTTTTTCTGAGACTTTTAAACTGAAAAGTGAAAATATTCCAATTCACAATTTTCTGATATACTGTATTATACATGTATGAATTCTGTAAAGGTTATTTATTCCCCTTGGAATATTGGAATAGAGGATGGAAAGATTTTATTTTTCTTTACTGTCTAACAATTTATTTATGCTGACATTTTTGATTTGCTGGTTTTTGTGTTTTCCATTGTTGTACTTGAAAGATTCTGTTTTTTTTTTTCATTAAAGAATGAAACAAAATATTATAACATTATTTTATGAAAGATATCTAACTTCAGGGAGTTAATATACATTATTGGTGTTTTTGTTCTGTGCTGTATTTAAAATCAGAATCTTTGAGAGTAGCTTGTCCTGGTGTTTGCCCCAAGGATCTGAGCTATACCCATGATATATCCATTTTAATTTAACTGCTCAAGCAGATTGACACATAAACAGTCCCTAAAGTAATATTAAATAATATATCGTTGTATAATGCAGATGATTCAGTGCTACACATCTCTTTTTCAGAACACGACGTGTTTCTGTTTTGAGCTCACTTTGACAAATGTGGATTTAACTTTAACTTGTTGATCTGCAGGCGTGATTTAATAAAGTACAATTATATTTTCTTATTTTAATACTTGAAAGGATATTGTTATATGTTACAATTCACCGATTAAATTAGTTTAAAAGATTCTTCGGATTCCCCTTTTAGATTTTTAGCTGATGTCTGAAATCTCTTATAACCAAATTGTAGAAAGTACGCCACTAGCTATTACATGATAAATGATTTTGGCATTATCCTGGTGGCATTTTTAATGTGGGCTTTAATGAAAGAAAGCCGTCAAAAATGGGATGCCCTAGAAAATGTTAAGCGACAGGGTTCTGGCAATCTAATCTAATTATAGTTAACCGATGTTTCCATCTCTGCTGCCTACGCCTTGTTAATCTCTTCTGTTGACCAGAGTAGCATGCCGTTAGTGTTACTCATGATGGTAAAATGATTGCTGCTTGTTATCTGAAACCAGTGACAAGACTGCAGGGTTTACCATCATTGGTGGCTAGTGGTACAGTGTATGTGGGTTTAGGCCAAAAGTAAAGGGGACACAGAAGGCAACAGATCATGATGCATTTAGTTTAGCTGTGGGCAAACAGATTGTCAAGCAAAGCATACTGAAAACAGATTGTTTAGAGTATTATACATTTTTTTCAGAATCCATTACATTAACTTTAATTTTGATGATCTTTATTATTTTTTTATAATTATGCCCTTGGCACTTTACAGATATGTAAGATTTTTTCTATGAATGATGGAGCAGTAAATATATAATCGATTTTATTTATGGTCACATTTTTAATGTGGTATATTATATACAATATATTCGTATTTTTATAGAAAAGTAGACAAGAATTTTGAACTACTGAAGTGGAAATGGGCAGCACACTCCACAATAATCTGTTAAAGCACTGTGCCACGCACATTTCATCTGTGTTTTTTGTAATTGGGTGGAATTGTGAAATAAAGTTGTAAAAGTGGCCCATGGAATGAATACTTGGAGAACGTGGGATGCCGTCCCTGTGAATTAGTCATAAAAGATTTAGCACAAAAGATGTAACAATTGCAGTGGGTGTCTCGAGTCATGATTGGGAAAAGCTTTGGTACTGCGACAATTACTTCCATTTGCCGTTTGTAATTCTTCCCATTTTAAAATAAATCAAAGCAGTCAAAATAACTAGTTGACAAACTATGTTAGTGTCCTGAAATGCTTCACCAGTTGTTGATTGGTACCTGGATGCCCCAATTGCCTGTACATATTGAATATTTGCAGTTTTATTTTCTTGTTTGTTTCGAAGGTCTGTTGTTGACAGTGCATGAAACTAAGTGATGTAACTTGTGTCCTCTTTGTATTCGTCTTGAAGCTGTTACGTAACTGCCACCTGTTTGTATGTTTTATAAAGATTTTTTTAAGTTCATCCAGTATAATTAGAGGAATATAGACATTGAAACTATAATAAATGGCTAAGAATCTTAACTCACTGACTCGAATGCAAGTAAATTCTTTGTGCTTTTTTTAATCCATGTGATGCCATCACCTCACATTTACTTTGTTTCCTGTTATCCCTCAATGTCAGCTGTGACAAATGTTAATTCAGCGAAACATCTTTAATCCTTAATCACATTCCCTGTAAGCGACCAATGCTTGAACATTTTTTTTGTCTTCGTTTAACCAAAAACTAATAAACCAATTGTGATATCAGGGCAGGGTGCAGTATTGGCGTTTGTGAACATTACCTGAAGTTGTTAAGTCTTCATCATGCAAGCTCAAAGTGAGATGTCTCACAAAAGATCTGAAAATATCTTTGCTAATTAAACTTTCCTGGTTTTATTTACGCTGTGTTATAGAGGCTGAGCCGTCTTCATTCTTGCCCTTTCGTGTTTCCCTTTTGACTTTTGTATGTTGACCGGGAAAATGAAAATTCCGAGCATGTCTTCATTGTGAATGGCAATAACTTCAAAGCATTATTATTATTTTTAATGGGCTTCGTGCTGAATGAATACTGTAGGTGTTTGCAACATGTAGAATAAAGATACTTTTGTAGCCTGTATAAATGGTGGTACATTGATCTTTAACTTCTGTAGCTATTCATTTAATCCATATTTATCCTCACAGTCTCCTAGGAAAAGACCTAAGTGTTGCTCTGGGACTAGTGTGTTTGAGATGGCCCATCTGCACGCTTCATTAAGAAGGAGATACAGTATAAAATAAGCGGTCTACAGGGACAGTCTTCCTATAGACCACCCTTTATCACGGTTATGACCAGTGCATGTGCAGCTTTCCTCAAAGATATGTTAAAGAAAGAGATATGGGTTAAATTGTACCCCCCCACACACACACACATAAATTTCTGTACCTTATCAAATGTATTGTAGAGAGAACACAAACTAACCCATTGCTGTCGGTGAATGGTTTATTCCAGCATACATGTACTGAGGGGAGTAAAACTTTCAAGGGGGAATAGGGGGAATGGTCTGTTATGCTCTTATGCATTGTCCTGAGCAGGAGAAGGCAAAGCTGTATCACTGTGGCTGTTACAAGAAATAGGAAATTCGAGTTAACAAAAAAACATCATCATAAAATATCTAGATGTATAGAAATAAACTCAATACTGCTTACGCATTTCTGTTTGTCTAGTAACGATGTGATTTGCACCTCGTCTGGATTTGGCTCTGCTCGATTTCCACTGCATTTTACCTGCGTTATTAATTATGTGCTTCATTAATTTTGAATCTTCACCCCAAGAAACTTGTTCTTCTTACACGGTTCCTGTGCAAGGGAGGGAGAATTCTGGGTCCCCAGTGTGGGACTCGCAGGCAGAACACAACAGAAAATGAAAAGTGCAGTTAATTAGCCATGTTTAGCGTGGACGGCTGCAGAGAGAGCACCAGCAGAAGTCATTGTTCAGGCATTTCTCTGGGTGCCCCGTGGAACCTTAACATGCAAGAGGCCATGTGGATCCGACGAGTCATAATCAGACCTGTATTTATATATTTCCAGAGTGTTTTTGTGTGTGTATATCTGTGCATGTATATCCTTACATATGCTGAATACACCCACCACACATGGCAGAAGGACAGCATACTCATTCACTGTCCTCCTGATGCACATATTTACATTCACATTAAATTCTGTCATTAGACTGTATAATTGCCAGTACATGTTACCTACTGTAAGTTAAACTATAATTATGCTGTATGCCATACACTATCAGTGCCAATTCATCAAGTTCTGTATGTAAAGGCAGCCATAATTATCTTTATGTTCTTTGCTGTGTAAATTGAATTGATTTATTTTTTCGTATTATGACATTGGCATAGACCAAGAGATATAGTATATAAAGTTATTTTGTGTTTACTAAAATCTGGCCTTTGGATCTAGTCTCTAACATTTAAACATCACACTGTCAAGCCATATGGGTGGAATTAAAACATTTATCTGTCAGTGACTGACCTTTTTAAAATTTATATGCCTTATACAACTATGAATGAAATTCCAGATGGATGTAAAGGTAAATATCAATTAGCATGAGTGAGGTAATGTCCTCCATTTAAGTGTTCTAATGTGGACTTTCTTTGAAAGGACTGGAAACACATCCTTGCTAAATCATCCTGTAAATCTGTTATCAGTTAGATTACATTAACAGACTTAAAGGAATCTGTAACTTCTTCTATTCTTGCCCTTATTTACTTTTCAAATCACACACTTGCCATAGATCTCAAACACGGTTCACCAGCCGCCTAATATGTAGTTATACCAGATTTGTGTCTTGTACCTTTAATTACACCTCTTCTCACATCCCAGAATGAAAGGATGATGCACAGAATGAGTTGCCTGATACATGGAGGACAAATTGCTTTTGTTCAAGAAAAACTGGGCCGCACTGCAAATCGCACTTTATTCCTTCTCATCGTTTACATTTTTGCACAAGAGAAAATTACGTAATCTTTTGTATAAAATTATTATTTCATTATCATTCACAACAAAGGATAAAAATTAGTGCTCACTTGTAATAAGGATGTTATTATATTAGAAAAGAATTAATGGCTGCTAAGCTCTACAGAAAGGACCTACTGAAGCATATTAAAATATACTCAGTGTCACAAAACTGCAGGATACAGATTTAAATGTACCCAAGGAAGGGGTAGGTTTAATCAATTAATTAAGTTTTTTAATGAGAATTTTAATGTACTCCTTGAGTTTATTTCAGCTTTGTATCATCATTTGTATTTGATGATAATGTCATTTTTTGTTTAGTTATTCTGAAAGCTATGACAATAATTACTTTCACATGAGCTCGGGATCACATATCTTATAATACACTTTAAATATCTTTAATTTTAAGTAAGAGAGAGACATGATTCATTTGGTCTAGCGAGTAACGTAAGGCTACAACCTTTTGTTCAACGTCATGGAGGTGCAAAATTGTGCATATATGACAAAGAAAGCCTGAAACTTGAAATTACTTTACAGCCAAACTGGACTGAGAACTTGCTTTAAGGAGGACATATTTATCAGTATGTTTTAATCAGTCTTGCATGCTTGCAATTCATGGTCTAATGTAAGCGATTAAGTAACGAGATGATAAACTTCCTTTTCGCCCCCTGTCACCAGGGAATTAATTAAAACAGGAACTGCCAGACTCAATACATACTGAGCGGTAAGTTATGCTCTGGGCTCATTCTGGCTGCTCCCAGAACACACACCTTTGTGCTTGTGTGTCCTACATCAGTCTGTATGGTTGTGGTTATATGTCTTAGTTTCCTTCTGGCTCAACCAAGCATCTGTACCCAAGTCCTTCTCCTGCACAGAATGCTCCTTCCTGAAGACTTGGTGATATGGGTGGGACAGTCCAGTTTGGGTTAGTTTGGGCCTGCATCTGGTCTGGTCTTTCAGCAGACTTTGATTCCACTTCTTGACACTCGTGTTCGGCTTGCGATGCATCTTGTCGCATTCTGTGGCGCAGGTCCTGATGTGCCGTTTCAACTCATGCGAAACGCATGATGAATGGATGTCTTCTGGGGATCCTTGATGGGCTTCATACATCACGCTAGTCTATCAGCCCTCAACGAGCCTATTTTTAAATTAAAAGAGCATAAGACCCCTCCATCACTGTCTAATGGGTAACAGAATATTTTCACCAACACACTTGTCACGTTTTTTGAAACATGCCGTGTGTCTGTTATTTAATTTCACCGCTGATAGCAAAGCCACTTACAAATCTGGTGTGTATCTATAACAATTTGGTTTCACCCACAATACGGCTACTGTATAGCTATGTGAAATGCTAGAAGAATGAGTTTCAGATTGCATGGTAGAGAAATGATGGTGAGACCTGGTAAGCATTCTTCTAATTTAACATGCAATAATGCACAAAGTCTAACACTTCGCCTCAAGGTAAGTTTTCTGCATTAAAAATGTGAAATGTATTTTTATCTAGTCATTTTTTTGTGAAATATAACACAGCTCATTTTTTAAGTGTTTGTTTCCCAGTATAAAAAATCATATGATCAGAGAGTTTATTCAGATGGGGTTGTGACAGCCCGTCTTGTCACCGGTTTTTGTCAGCGGATTACCATAATTACACATTTCCTTACACCATATGTGATTACTTACTACATAACAGAGTCGAGTCACTGTCACACAGGCTGGCTGTGATGTTGCCCTCAGTGGAATCATGGGAAATAAGAGGCTCTTTTTTAGACTCCATGTTGTTCCTCATTCCCTTAGGCTGATCTGATCCCAAAGATATGAACTCTCCCAAAATAGAGACTTTAGAATAATCCACTTCAACACAAAACTTGTAAGAACTGGCCAATAAACAAAAACAAATGTATTACATATATTTGAATTGCTTTAGACAGGGTCAGTCACTACGAGTCAAAAATGCATTGACACTGTAACATTTAATTTTATTGACATTTCTCTGTGGGAAACATAAAGCACATCGTAATTAATGCTACAGAGGTGATATACAAAGTGACCTTCGTTGTCTCTATATTCATTATGGCTTATTTGGTTTTGTTTGTTTAAAATGTCTTTCTCAGTTTATCCAGTCCTGTTCAAGCCAAAAGACACAATGAAAATCCATGTGTCAAATTTTGAGCAAAGGGTTAAAAACTTGCCTTTACAGTTCACATACGTTACTATTATAGTGAGCTATTTTATTGCTAATGAGGACCGTGATGTTCATTAATTAGGGAGATGTTTTCTTTTAAGTGTCTATCCATCCAAGGGACTTGGCATACAATCACATAATGAGGGAGGCACTTGCTCAGTCCCTCCAGTACAGAGAGCTGTTTCTCTGTAACACCTGAGTCCATCAGAATGTAAGTAATTTAGTGCACATGGGATCCGGTGGCCTTTGTTTGTATAACAACACAGCATCATCTTTTACAAGGAGAGACTCTGAGTCTCTTGTGTCCTGAGAACATGTCTGGGTCTAGGGATGGATATGGAGCTGGGCTCTGTCTGCAAGAGTCCTGCTTTTACTCTAAGAGCTACTGAGAAGATATTTGAGCCACATACAAGAAGGTGCTGAAGAACTCTACCACTCACTCAGAGGGGGAACAAGTCACCCTTGAGTGTCGGTGTTGCACCTTGAAGATAATGAAACACATTTCTGCTAACATCTAATATGTGGCGCAGGTCCTGACGATTGTTATACACACACACACACACACACATGCACCTCATTTTCAAGGGGCTCTGCTTTCAGCAGTGAAATTGAATAACTGTTGGGGGGGGGGCATGTACCCCCAATATTTAATTTAGTTTAATTTGTCCCTCCCTAATAAATAGACCTTTGCATGTAAAATATTATGATGTCCCACCAATAGCAAACACTCCGCTTTGCTCTTGTATAGGAACTACTTTCAACTTAAAAAATTATCTTAAGCTGTCATGCATCCAAGGATTAATGGACAGTACTGGCCTTCAGCGTCGGTTACCATGGCGTAAGTTCAGCTTATCTTTTCAGAGGGTAACAAGATCACATGACCAATGCACCATTAGTGTCAGGGTCTGTACTGCCTGACCCCGCCCTTTGTGTCTCTTCCCCATTTTTGGTTTACCCTGCCTGTGTCTTGTTTTATGTTGGCGAACTCTTTGGTTCTTAGTTATTTCTAATATTACCTTTCAGTGTTAGTGTTAAGTGTTTGGAGTTGCCCTGTTCTGTGATTAGTTCATTGTAATCCACCCCACCTGTTTCTAGTTAATCATGTTCCCCTTGATTAAGTTGATTACAAGTTATCCCTGTCCTTTGTTTGCCCTGATGCCTTGTGTGTATTTCAGTTCCTATCTGTGCTGCTCCTCACTCTGCCCTTATTTATGTTGCCCTGTGTTTGGTCCTCTGTTCTGCTGTGGTCTAGTTCCTGTGTTTTTGTTTAGTTGTGCATTATTTCATGGTTTAGGTTTATTCAGTATTTTTTCTGTTTTCTCACCCCTCGTGGTCTTTTTTTTAGTTTTACTATGTGTGTTCAGTTTCTTTAATAAACCCCTTTTTGTCTTGGAGCCGCTCGTGGATCGTCACCCTTTTCCCGGCTGCATCATGCCGCGCCGTATAACAATTAGTCAGAATCTTAGCATCATTGACTGTAGCAACGTAACCATAACGTCTGGTAAAAAGAGCACAGCATTTGTCCTCAGCCTATAAGGAAATACTAGGTAGGAAAGGCAGGCAACTGGAAAATTAATTAATACCAGTCTATAGCCTTTTCCTGTTTGCTATTTGCACCAGAGTTGCTTGTTTTCTTATGTCTAAAAAGTGCAGAGACGAATGCTAAAGGCTGCAAAACTAATTGTATCTTTTTAAAAGCACGAGTAGTTAATGCCTGAGATAAAACTTACTAACAAAAAAAAAAACACAAAAGAACCCTGAATGTTAGACAATACAGCACAATATCTGTACTATATATGGCTACTTTGAGAATTATTTGAAATATATTCAAAACGACACTTTCAGTGTTTGTCGCACGGTAAAAAAAAAAAAGTGATCTTCGAAACGTTTTAATTCGTGTTTTTATTTACATCATCGATGACGATTGTGTCATTTCTCTGCATTAAATCCTTTTAAATGAGTCGATTAAACTGAATTTTCTAAGTATTTATCCATTGGTATAGGCTGTCCTTAAATAATTGCACAATCCGGAGGATTTTTTTATTTTTTTTTGTAAATGCGCATCCCACCCCCTTTCAGACGCGGAAAAAGGGAGCTTGGTCCTCTGTAGGTACCGCTGGGGTAGGCGTTGTAAGGCATCTCAGCAGTGCGCAGAAGCCGTATAGGGAAAGCGGAGCCGCGCTCCGCACGCCTCCCTCACCTGAAAACGGAGGTTGCCGATGATTCACATATAACAAAGAAACGAAGGCGCAAACGGCAACTGCTCCCAAAAAGGCTTGGGAAGTTGGCCAAACTGGACAGCAGATCCAGACCCGACACCATCCCGTCCGATCTCCACTTCAGTACTTAATGTCTTCTATTCATAACGGGGGAAGGAAAGCGAAGGTTTGGGGACCGATGGGTCGCGTAAAATCTGATCCCTCATGGCAGATATACTGAACTGTTTTATGAAAACCGTTGTCATGTCGTTGGTAAACAGCGTGATCTTATGCCGTCTCGTTTGAGGGAGAGAGGCTTTGATGAAGCCCCGGAGCCATTTCTAACTTCGGACTTGAGGTGCGGACTTCCAGATGAGACGAAGCGACCTGCATGTTTCCGGGCTTGGAAAGAGCCGATGAGTAATTTTCAGCGCAACACACAACATGCCGCTTGAAGCTTGAAACTGCGGATCTCCTCCTAAATCTAGCGCTTGCAAACAAAACGTTTGACACATGGCATTGGCATATTTATTTTAGTGCTGCAACATCCATGCGAATGCATGTTATTCTGATTTTGATCAGACTGGAATTCCTCAACAGTTAAGAGGAATCGTAGTTTTTTTTTTTAACTGGCTGCGATAAAGCTACTTTATAGTTGCCTTATTTTGGATATCGAAAGAGCGCTAAAGAAGCGCTTCGCAGGGAAACGTCACGCAAGAGAAATTGCAGCAGGTAAAAGAAAAAAGTAAATAGGGTAAAAGACGGGAAAATTGAAGGAGAATCTCTTTAACTGTTGTTGTCGTATTATGTCTGCACTTAGAAAGAAATTTGGGGACGATTATCAGGTAGTGACCACTTCATCCAGTGGCTCTGGATTCAGTCAGCCGGTGCCAGAGAAGAAGAAAAAAAGGCAGCGCTTCGTGGACAAGAACGGGCGATGCAATGTCCAGCATGGAAACCTGGGCGGTGAAACCAGCAGATATCTTTCAGACTTATTCACCACTTTGGTAGATCTGAAATGGCGCTGGAATTTATTCATTTTCGTCCTGACTTACACGGTGGCATGGCTTTTTATGGCCTCGATGTGGTGGGTCATAGCATACATTAGAGGAGATTTAAATAGGGCTCACGATGACAAGTATACGCCGTGCGTTGCCAATGTGTATAACTTTCCCTCCGCATTTTTATTCTTCATCGAGACCGAAGCCACTATAGGTTATGGCTATAGGTACATTACAGACAAATGTCCGGAGGGAATAATCCTGTTTCTTTTCCAGTCCATTCTTGGATCTATAGTAGATGCATTTTTAATAGGATGTATGTTCATAAAGATGTCTCAGCCCAAGAAGAGGGCAGAGACGCTCATGTTCAGTGAACACGCGGCTATTTCAATGCGAGACGGGAAACTGACCCTCATGTTTAGGGTCGGTAACCTGCGGAATAGCCATATGGTCTCGGCACAGATCCGCTGCAAATTGCTCAAAGTAAGTGCTGCTCCTCACTGTCAGCAAACTCTTTGTTTTTCTCTAAAGAATTTATGTTCAAGATATATCTGTAATTAAAGATGTAATCGTTAAGGTAAGTTTTAATTTGCTAAGACTATTTTATTTGCTTAGCCTCTGTAAGCAAGTTGTTAAAACACTGCTGTAAATTAATAATTAATCATTCTAAATTTTGGACATAAGTTGTTTTAATAAATCAATATTAAAAAGTTTATATGTGATTTAGTTCTGAATCATTAGTAATTATCGAACTGTAATTAAAACACCCATCAAACCTGAAGGTAACATTTACTCATTTTGTATACCATCTGCCAAGTCTTTTTCTGTTACAGTCCATATAAATCATGTAGTCTAAGTAATTAGCCTTTTGTCCAAAGCAAAGCAAATTATTATGAATTATTAGGCCTACATGTAAAATTGTTAAACCTGTTATATGAATGCATGTGTGGGTTTGGGTAAACAGAAATGGATTCTTTGTTTTCTGTGATTGATGATTGTGATTGCGGACGAAACGGTGGAGCACGGCTCCTGTAATTGAAGAGGTCACGCTGGCTGTCTCTCGTCTCTCCCTCACCCCACTGCATGCTTTATTTAGTCTCGGCAGACGCCGGAGGGCGAGTTTCTGCCCCTGGATCAGTTGGAGCTGGACGTGGGCTTCCGAACCGGGGCGGATCAGCTCTTCCTCGTGTCTCCGCTCACTATCTGTCACGTGATCGACAGCCGGAGCCCCTTCTACGAGCTGTCCGCGCGCTCCATGCAGACCGAGCAGTTTGAGATCGTCGTCATACTTGAGGGGATAGTGGAGACCACTGGTGAGTCCCATGTAACTCCATTATTTTATTTTCGCTTATAAAAAGTTCATGAATGCGATGAGAGCCATCAAACTTCAGTGATGCAATGCGTGTGTGTGTGTGTGTATGTGTGTGTGATATATATATATATATATATATATATATAACATGACATGTTGAATACGCACATCTGTTGGAAAAGAAGCCCTGTCAAATACTTACAGAGGTTCAAATGAAGCAACCTTCACTGTTTATAAAACACTATACGTTTAATGTGGATAAAATTACATTAGTTGCCAGGAAGGTTCGCAGCGATAGGATGGTGCTCCATCCTGGGTTGTTCCCTGCCTTCCGCCCTTGGCTTCTGGGATGGGTTCCGGACCCCGGCGACCCTGAAAAAGACAAGCCGGTACAGAAAATAGATGGATAGAGGCAGGACCATAGCCAAGATTTTTTAAATACACAGGTCGAAAGTTTTCACCCATCCTAGGCGTGCCTCGTAATGGATTCTGGTTATTGGAGTTAAAAAAATATACTGAGGATTTGACCTCTGTGTCCTCAGTAGTAGGTGCAGGCATGGATGGAGCGATGGATGGATGGAATGTTGCCAGAAAGAATGTTTTGTTGAATATGCATAGTAACCAGAATCTGCTTATGATATATTTGAAGCTCTTGTTCTTATTTTAACCGTTTGAGCATATAGACACTCCCTGGGTGAGATTTGTTGTTGGTCACTTTTCCTAATGAGCGATGAATGATAGTGTCAGTGAGGTCAAGTCTGTAACTGGTTTTGAAATAGTCATTTTGTCATTCTGTTTAATGATTTTTTGCTTTGCATCTGCTTTTAGACATAAGCAGTAATATAAGAAATACAGTTTCATTCAACAATTTATTTTATAGAACCAGGCTCCCACAAAATAGTATTTTAAAACTCAAAATAAAATAAAATTAATCTTTTGGCCTGGAATGAAATAAGTTTAAGCACAGGAGCGCAGCCTTTATGTTTTGAGGGAAAAAAGAGTCATATTTGTCACTGATTTTTTTTTAAACTGGTACATGTCTCTGATATTTGTATTTGATTTTTTTTTAATGAGCAAAGAAGATAGAAAAGTAAAGTTCAGTTCTTGATGGTTAACTGCTGTAATTAAAATAGAACAATGGTTATCAAGTTCTTATAGAATGGAGGTATGATCTATATTCTGGACTGTAATGACTGGACAGGGAGATGATTGGAGTTCATTCCTAGAGCTGTGGTCCAGGGACTGGCAAAAGGTTGATAACCAGGTTGAAGCAAAGAAAGGCAAACAAATCTAAACTGTAATGCAAAGACACAGGCAGAGGTCAATAACGGACTACAGGACAAGTAACCAAATTCAAAATTCTAGGCAAAGAACAAACAAAGGTCGTGCATATAATGTCAATCATGGCACAAACGCTCATTTTGGTGAAACACACAATACTTCACAAGGAGATCTCTGAAAACAAGTGCTTTTATTCTGAAACCTAGTTGATCCAGTTGATGAGTAAAGGGTGGTCCAGTATTCAGGGGAGGAAGAGGAACTAGCATGGTGTGGATGGATGCTTGTCTAGGTGCAGACGTGACGTTGGCGTATGGTTTACAGTAAAGAAACTAGTTTCTGAAGAGTCTGGAAGTTTATTTTTCATGATTATTGAAGAAGGGTGAAAAAGGATTAAAGTTTGGAAGGGTGACGCAGGAATTCAGGAGCCCATAAATGCCCCAATGAGGAGATGTGACAGACAGGTGATGCTGTCGAGGACAGAACTGACGCTCTAAACTTCATCTGCGTTGCGACTGACAGCCAGTGGAGGCTGATGATTTGGAGATTGAGGCCTGCACTGTAAGCGGGGTAGAAGAATATTTCAGCATAGATTGCTGTGGTCCAGCCAACTGGATGGGAATTATAAAGTGCAGCGCAGCAACTGTGGTAAGAGCAGAATGTCAGGGGGAAGAGACGGGATCTTTGAGCACAGGAAATGAATAACCTTTTACATTCACAAATTACTTTTGCAAATCTGTGTGGTGTGGGGGGGGTGAGTTGGTTTCCTGGGAAACGGCCAACTAGCTAGTCAGTTTGAAACCAGTTTGACCATTTAAATGGTTAAGCAGGAAAGTCTTGGAGACCATACATTCAAGGTTACCAAAGAGGGCACTCCAAGATTGTCATGTAGGGCCTGTTTAAATGACGAAATACTGTGTCTGAAAAGTGTTTTTCTGAGGTCTTTCCTAAGTGTTTTTGGCACCATATCTTAAATAAATGAATAGATTATAGAATATAAATGCCAAACAGGTTTTGAGGTCATTATAAAAATACATGACAAATGTTTGTTAGATATACTAAATATATTTCTGGAAAGCATACCATAATATCCCACTCTCTCAAAAAAAAAAACAGAAGGCAACTTGCTCAAATCTTTTGTTCCTGTAAAGAAGGAAAACAAATGGTCAAATCTGAAGTAGTATTCATTTTTAATTCATTTATTATATTGGTTTAGTCAGCATGTTATTTTTGTTCATTTGTAAGCAGATTTTAAGAAAGTAACGTCCTAGTTAGAAAATCAGGCATTTACTGCTAATTTAGCTCAGGAGGCATTGATTCAAGTGCGGAGGTTGCAATATACACACATAATGTATATTAACATGGCTGATGTGGATGTGTTATTTACAGAAAGGTGTGTAGCTGAGTATTTAAACTGCAAACAATGCACAAGGCCTGATCACACTCCTTTCATTAAAAATATTTAAAAATTTACCATTATATCATTTAAAAGTGGTACATTCCTCTTGAGAAGGATTCTGAGAAAGTCGTTTTAGAAGTGGGTAATGGTGAATCTATATTGATTGTTTGACAAATTTAGCTCTTGATGGTTTTTATATTTATGTCCACGGTACACAAAAATTCATGGCACTTTTTTTCTGCACATGAGAAATTTGCCTGTAGGAGAACAATCTATTTGGCTACAAGGTACTTTATGTTTCTTGGATGGTCACTGCGACGAGAGGAAGAAAAAAAATCATTATGTAACACGTGTGAAATTAAATTGAACCCATCTTTGGTCCATGGCCTGCACTTCATTCTCTTTGAACTGTACAGAGGAAATGTGCTTCACGCCTGTCAGGTCGTAATCTCCTTCAGCAACACCTCCGGGAATGGCCTAAAACAGGCTTGTTTTGAATACAAGACCTCATTTTTCCAGCACAATGCTGAACTTCAGGATTAAATTTGAATTGCATTTAAGCATGGAAATACCTAAAGGGTCATTCATTCGCCTATGAATAGAAAGCGCTTTAAGGATTTGAATACTGTGCATATTGCTGTTCCCTTTGCTTTGATTAATAATAAAGATTAAGTATTGTGACAGTTCCCCTGAAGTAAAAAAAAAATATAAAAATTATTGCTTGATTTAAAGAGGAATGTGCTTCCTATTGGAGGTATGGTGGATGAGTGAGTAACACTGCTATCTCACATTTGCGGAGTGGGGACCTTAAATCTCACCCCCTGCTTTGTGTGCATGTATGGAAACTCCAGCAGTCCATCGTCAGCCGATTTGCTGAATAGTCACCTCTAAACTGCCTATTGTGTTTGTGCTCTGCAGTGACTGAGTGGTGCTCCATAGCCTTGTAATGAATGGACTTTGGAAGATGGATATAATTATCATTTCATGCACCTTCACCGAGTGTCTGTGTACCATGTACAATAGGTGAATGTATGCAGTAAGCAGTGTTAGCTTATAGCACAGGAAAATAATAATGTATGCTATGGCAGAACAGTATTTTCAATCCATTAGTAATTAGCAGCTTTAAAAGTTCTGTTATATATTGTACATCAAGACATGAGTGTGTGATGGTGCTCCTTCCATCTGAAGACAGAATGACAGAATGTGCACTGTAACCGATGACTCCTTATTCGCTCTGCAGTTGCATGTATTTTTAAAACCTTTCTCTGGGCAAACATGGACCAGAAGATAAACAGTGTGATAAGCCCCCACCAACTGTGAAATTTCAGGAGCACAATATTCGGGCAGGATTGCTGAATGGCTGATGGTAGATCGTAATTGTTTTCTTGCTCATTTTCCACGTGAAATAACTCAGACTCTGGTCTCGTTAGAATATTCGGTTTAAATCCCCATACCAATTATGTACAACTAACATGTAATTTCTTACTTAAATCCCTGCTTCACCCAGCCCCTCCCTCAAAGAAACAGGGATTGTTTTCTTTTTATAAATCCAGGAGAAATCGACTAAAATGAGTTCAGTTTCAAAGCAGATTCTTCTCTCGGGAAAAAAAACCCCCAGCAATTTGCCTGTGAAAGAGGCGCAAGGTTTCTAGATGTTTCCTTACCCTCTAAATTTCTCTGTCACACCCTCAGCATATTGGAAGCCTCTGATAACTTCACTGAAACTTTGCTCTTTAATGCCGAAACCCTGAACGAGTCTTATTATTTCGTACCTTGTCATTTGTAGTGTGCATACTAGGCATTTGGGTTTCATCAGATGGTTCTTCTCTGGAGGTTTAATATGTGGCCTTTTAACACTATTTTCTAAGATAAAAGCATTTTGGCTGCAGTGCTGACCGACTTGCAGGAAATTCGTCCTCTTCTGCATGTGTGGCGTTTAGGAATTGCAACAACACTGCATGTGAGCTGGATTTGTATGCATGGCTTCCTCTGGCTTTTTGAGGAACACGTGCGTTAGGTGTGTGGTTTGTGTCAGTAGAAAGACTCCATAAATAACCGCTGAAAGTTGAAGTGATTTATTGATTATTAGGTTTATGTGAGTTTTATAAAGGCTGCATTCATTCTATGTACGCAGCCTATTAGGATGCTGTCACAAAATTTCCACCGTGCAATCGGAAGACTGAGAAGCAATTTTTGGATAATTATATCCATCCATCCATGATGTTTATCTAGGAGAGGACTGGCCTAAAGCCTGTGTTGAGAAGCAGAGGGTCTCAGGCAGTGGACACCCTGCATGGGTTGTCTTATATTCTTATGTATGATGG